ACATAGATTTTCAAACCAAAAGAGAATATGGTAAAGCTTGATGGAAGCACGCAAGAAATTGTTAAGAAAAATACGGAACCACCACAAGAGATTGTCTTGGCTTGCCAGCAATTGGCCGATGGTCTTGTGGATCGGCTAATTGAATTGGAGGATACCGACAATGCGAGTATGCTGGGCTGCATAACTACACTTCATCTGCTTGCTAAAGTACGGCCTCAACTTTTGATTCGACACGCGATGACAATAGAGCCATATCTGAACATCAAATGTCATTCAGCGTCTGCAGCTAAATTTATTTGTGCTGTAGCTGATATTCTGGAAAAGGTTGTGCCTCTCGTTAATAATGCTAGTGAATCGTTTTTGGCATCTTTAGAAGAGCATCTGATGCTGCTGGTTGTTTCACGAAATCAAGCTGAAGTTACCAGCTGTGTTTCTTGTTTGGGAGCGCTTGTAAATAAGATAACGAAGAACTATAAATTAATCCGCGACTGTTTCCAAAAGTACGTAACAATCACTTCCATAGAAACCTCTTTAAAAACTATACTTATAGGTTTTACCGCGTTCTGGAGCTGTCTAGAAACCAAGTTGAACAAAACGGGTTTAATATAGATAATATTTACACACCTAGCTTTCGGAGAAGTCTATTTACAATTGGTATTCTAATGCGATATTTCGACTTTAAATCCCCCATCGCCTTAGGTAAGTTTTTATTATCCCGTAAAGGTGTTCCGAACCTAAAATGATTATACTCCTAGGTGAATCATCTAATGGACTTCCTGCTTCAATATGCGATAACGTATTTGAGTGTTTGATGTTCTTTTGTGGTTGTTCAAATCACGAAATTCGTAAACAAGCACTTATATCACTTGGCTCCTTCTGTGTTATGAACGATGACTATCTGACTCGATCAGAGCTTAAGCAATTTTACTGTGATCTACTTAGCTCATCCTCAAATGATGCCGGAACAAAAATAATATGTATGCGTAATATTTGGATTTATTTGACTGAATCGGAAATGTTTATGCATAACAAAGAGAAAGAATGTAAGTATAATTATCATAAATGAGATATTTACCGTATTCTTTAATATATCTACTTAGGGGAAAAGCAATCAAAGCACGAAGACTTAAAGGAAATGAATGATGTGTCGTCTGGTATGGCAAGTCGTATCATTCAGCTCTATTTGGAAGAAATACTTGATTGCTTTCTAAATCGTGACGACGCAGTTCGTCTATGGGCAGTAAAGGTCGTACAAATTGTGTTGCGCCAAGGATTGGTGCATCCCGTAAGAATGGTACCATACTTGATATGTTTGAGCACCGATTTAAAGGTTGAGGTTAGTACAAAAAAAAATGCAATTAAAATACATCAATTTAACACGTTGCAATTTTAGTCAGCGCATAGAGCAGATGCCTTGCTTAAAGACATTGATAAAACATATTCGGGCTTTGTGAATATGAAAGTTCAATTCGGCCTTCAACTTTGTTTCAAGCTGCAGGAAATCTTGCAAGTAAACAACATGGCGAAAAATGAAATAATTCGGGGCTATGCGTGAGTTACACAAGTTCAGTTAATATATTTTGATATTAAAGGTTTAAAAAAACTCGATTACAGAAAACGTGGCCCAGATCAAGTAACGACAGCTTTAAATGACTTTCTGTATACATTACTCCGAACAACAAAACCACAAAGACGAGCTTTGGTTCAAACAGTAACAAAACAATTTGATGATAAAAAAACATCATTACAGCAAATGTTATATATTGCCGACAATCTCGCGTACTTTCCATATGCGGTTCAGGATGAGCCCTTATATCTGATACATCAAATAGATTTGCTTATCTCAATGGCTGGCACACATCTTTTAACCACTTTTAAAGAGCATCTGAGACCAAGTGATAAGGGAGGTGACATTCTTGAAGACGATGACGATGAAGACGACCCGCATGTTCTTTTCAGTCGCTTGCCTGAAAATATGACTGAAATCAAAAAGTGTATAACTTCTGCACAGGCGTGCATGCTTCTTCTTGTACTAAAAGAACATTTAAAGGAAATGTATGGGCTAACTGATAGCAAAATATCACGTTATTCGCCTTCTGAGCAAAAGCTATATGAAAAAGCAGTGACACGTAGAAGCGTCGCAGACTTTAATCCAAGAACAACAATAGATGTGATTAAAAAGCAACATATCCAAAACTATAGTAGCACAGAATCTGATTGTTTTTCCAGAGAACTCACGAGTGACGAAAAATTGGATCTTGTAATAAAATACTTGGACGTATGTAACCTTAAACTTTGATTAATTGTATATATTTTAAATAACCTATAAATTTTAGTTTAAACAACTGATGCTTAAACTGGATCCGGAAGATGCAGATTCTGATGCAGATGAATCTCGAGAAAAGTCAAAACTAAATAATTCCGGACTCATTGATGAAAGAGATAGCTCTTTCAATTCCACCAGGCCAAGTCAAATGTTAAATGACAAACCAAATTCAGTTTCTATGCCAACGGGTACTCAAAGCAATATTCAAGCATCAACCACATTAACGGCTGTAAGCTTATAACACATGTTTTTGTTTCTCAAATCAAATATAAACCAAAATGTTTTATATAGGAAACGCCTTGTACCAATACACCGGCTTCACGTACTGCGAAATCAGCACTATCCCCTGCGAAGTTACTTGCCCGTAAGCAGAGCCAACAACGTAGTAAAAAAAAGCGGCGCAAAGTGATGTCGTCTGATGAAGATGATGAGCGCAGTGGCGATGACTATGCGTGAAATGTATCATTGTCTCATTGTTTAAACCATACTTTATAAAAGGGAACAGAAATTATATAAAATGCTATTGAAGTATAGGCTTAAATTATAACGATCTTAATTAGTGCATATAATATATGTATGAATGTAAGCATAATTTATTTTTTAAAGTAGATATGTGTAATAGCAAGTAATCACTAATTTTAACATTTGTTCGGCTAAAGTAAGCTAAGTATCTTTTGTAGTATCTGAATTTATCTTAATCGGTTATGTTGGAGAAATCAATACAATAAAATATAGTTTGTGTATATTTTTATATCGTATCATAATGATTTATAAATTATATAGAAGCTATCTATTAATAATGATCGTTTGGGCTTAGCTTAAGCCACGGTTTATACAAATTCAAGGATTCGGAATACCACCGAAGCGGTATATCCTACGAAATTAATCAATGGTAATAAAATAATGTCGTGTTTCAGCCATTATTAAAGATGCCTACTGTAAAAAGCTATATAATAACAATGTCATGATGTAAAGAATATTTTGCTATAGGGTTATGTTTTTCAAATTTTCCCAAATCTTTGTCATTGTTATGAATATTAATATGCAACACATTTTCCAATGCTGAGATTTTATGAAAAAATGTGTTTTGTTTTTGTCGTTTCCTTCTATAGCGATCTTAAAAATCGTCGCAAGGAAATCTAATAAAATATATTCTTGTTTTCTTTTAATCGAAAGCACATAGATTAATCAAAATAATCCAACTGGCACATTACTAGGATAACATTCATTGGTTATAATTCAGCCAAATCGAATCATGTACATTATTTTATTTCATAGTTGCAAACTAAAAGCTCTTATATTATTTCAAGTCACACATATTGTACAAAAATATATTTTCTTTAATTTAATAATATAACAAATATTTATTGATTTATGTATGTAGCTAAATAAATGTTTAATAAAAGTAATTTAATAACATATCCATATGATCAAATGAAATATTTTCTCTTGTTATTGATGATTTGTTTAAATTGTTGCCATCAGACATTTATTATTGCATAATTTTTCGGATCGCATCGCGTTTTTACCCAACTCATTGGGATTCCGATGCAACGAGCTGCATCCCCTTCAGACGAAACAAGCCGCGAAATTTAAACGAATGCAAACTAAGACTATAGACTATTTAATACGAGGAAGAAAGAACTCCGAAAAGAATACCCCCAGTTCCTTAACAATCCTCGTGTGTGGAATGTTCCGGATCGCCTCCAATCTTCCCGGGCACACGAACACGGTTGATCTCAGAGAATTGAGAGTTGGGATCACCTTCTCCATCAACCTGCACAATTGTTGAGCAGCATTGCAGAGTCCGAATGGCATGTGGGGTAACTATAAACGCCCTGCTCTTCTCCTTCATCTCGATCTACCAAAACGTGTCACGCCATTGACAGTGACAACCCTTCACGTGCGTGCTTCGCTTCCTCCAGCTGGCTCCTTTGTTCGTCGACCAGGTCCCAAATTTCCTGGTCCGTTACGCCGTTTTCGTCATCTTGGGTCAATGCCCCCCTCCCGTCACACAGTTTCTATGGCCTAGCGCCTCGTAATCCTGCGTCTGCGGAAACGCACTCGAGCCTTTACCACAAGTCGGGTGGCTAGCGTCATTCCATCCAGCTGTCGCTCACCAAAACTTATATTTAAGGGCCGACATGTGTGCGATTGTGTGGACCAGGAATGGAACTACCCGTAGAGATCCGTTGAGCCAGCCTACTTTGCGTGGATTATATACAGCTTTTTACCAAAGATTAAAACCCCATAACCTAGTCCCAGAAATAAATATGTACAAAAAGCTGTTGAGACTAAGCCTGCCTTAACAGCAAGGGAAAAGAATAAAGAGTCCAAAGGGAAAAATATCGAAAGCCTTCTTTACATCTGCATTGCCAAACACTCTCTTTGCAGAATCAACCCTGTTCGATTTACATTTGTTTTTGTAACTTACAATTTCCTTAGACGATCTTGGCTAAGTAATTGTTGCCGTTATCGCCAAAAAAAAAAAAAAATACCAGCAAAAAATAGTAGAGTATGCCAAATGTTTATGTTTCTATTTTTTATGCCGTTAAAAATACTCAATGTTAAATACATTTAACACATTGCATACATGTGCATGCATACACTTGTTAGGTAAAGAAATGTATACATACCAACGGATTCCATTGTAGCACTGTTAAATTTGAGAAACGAAATGCGACTGCGTGAGTTACGCTCAGTATACTTGTCAACTCTATTTTAGTCTCCGTATGGTGCTACGAAAAAGAGGACCTTCAAAAAAAAAAAAAGAACTGTTCACGGCACATCCTTAAATTACTTTAATCTTCGCGCAAGAATGGAATACAACTTAAAAATAATTGTGTAAGGTCAAACGATACAATCGTATATTGAATGTGCATTTATTTTAATAGATGTTCACTTATTTGTATGTACATATGCATACATATTTATAGTCATACCAGCAGCTTACATTTACATATACATATATGCTTATGCTTGTACATGTATATCTAACGGGTATGTATGTATGTATATACTGTTCAAGTGCATTTTTAAAATTGAAAAAATGCCTGATATGTACATACATATCTACCTACATTTATACATATGCATGCACATTTATATATAAATATATGTTATGTATAAACTCCACTTCTTATGTACACATGTATGTATGTAGGTACATAATTCAGTATTGCCAACTACCATCACACACATAAAAAAACGGAATAAAACATTTTTTTAAGTTGAATAAAAAAGGACAAATTATCCGACATTTTTTCCGGCTTAGTAAGTTAAAAAAAAGCGAAGATTTGTGCGAAAAAATACTTAATTGGCAACGCATGAATGTGCACGTGATTCAACTCACTTTAGTCCTGTTCACTTGATGCCAAATGTACGTACATACACATACACATACATGTGTACATATAGAAGAAGCGCCTTTTAAATGCATCAAATATGTGCAACCATGTATACATACATACATATGTATGTTTTTTTTTTCTGTGTATGAACGTTTTTTGAGTATTAATATTAACATATGCATCTATACAGTGTGCTCATAATGTCTTCGTACAGCGTCTTCGATATTATTTAGTAATATAAATAACTCCACTCATTTTTTCTTCGTTATCACCAATCGTAATCACGGCGGATTGCTCATTAACGATGATGGCGCCGTCATCGTTGACCGTGGGTGACTTCAGTTAGTTGGGCGGGATGGTACAATGGTACAACGAGCTGTGCAAATTAGGTACAATAGTACAATGATCTGTGCGAATGAGGTAGAATGGTACAAATAGCTGGTCGCACGCCGTATACGTCGTAATCTTCTGCAGAAAGTTGTGAGTTCCAATTGGTAATATTTCATTACCGCAGTTCTTAAAAATATATCCTCATATCCGTAATGCTCATGTTCGTAGAACGCCCATTGATTATGTTTTGAAAATCATTGGAGTCTAATATAGCCGGATTAATATCCTATTTCTGGAGGGCAATTTTTCGTATATCGCGTTCTTTAAAAGTTTCGCCTGTCATTGTAGTCCGCGGTCGAGTAATCTGTCTATTTTGCCGTTGTCATTGTGACTAGAAGTGTTTTAGTCTCGATCCTGAGCTAAGAAATTTATAGTTTATTTTATTTTATTATATTTATTTTCCAAGATTCAACTAACTCTAAAAAATATATGGTCTTATAATGTAAGCTATTACTAAAACCGACTTTCTACAATCGTTGACATTGGCCTACGCACGCCTTCGATGAGTTTTAAAGTCGCTCTTTCTATTGCAACAAAAGTCGAGTCGATCTAGGCATGCACTTCTGTCTGTCCGTATGTATGAATGCAAGGAGCTCAGAACCTATAAGAGCTAGAGTCTTGAAATGGAAATGGTACCAGTTGGTTTTAGATAATCGATGACGTGCCCCGTTTCCAAGAACTCGATTAATATCGAAATGCTGTTTTTGAGCAAATCTTGTAAATTATAAGAGCTAGCGACACCATTTGCATATACTTTATGGACATCTTGCCAATTAAATATTTAATTTTCAGCTGATCTTCCTAATGTCGAATAGTCCGATGCAGATGAAATTTTGTGCGTATGTAACGTCGTGTAACGCAGATCGTCACTGGTGAGTTTTTAAAAATCTTCTGGAAAAAAACTGTTCTTATAAAAACTTAATTTTAGGCCGCGTACGACATGAATGCCAGGATTTCTGCTGCTGTGCGCTGCAGGATAATATCGGCTTTCAACCTAACGTTAAATTTCGGCATCGACTGTGTATACTACTAAAAAAGTCAATTGAATGCAGCTAAGACTGTTTTAATATAAAGGACACAGCTGTGACAACGTCACAATTAAGAAGCGTACAAATGCCTTTCCCATTAATTTATTGTTTATTAGAGATATAAATATGCTTTGAAGGCAGTGAACATGTTTTATGTGCAAAAAATCTAACTAGTACTTTAGTAAACTAAATAAGTGTTAAAATGATGGAACCCGAAAAATGGCAAATACGAATATATTTGTGTTTACTATTTGTCACTTTGTCATATTCAAGTAAGTCATAGTATTAATTAATTATAAGTTCGTCTTATGTATGTAACACGCAGAAGGAAGCATCTCCGACCCCATGAAGTGTATATATTCATGATCAGCATCAATAGCCGAGTCGATCTAGCCATGTCCGTCCGCCCGGCAGTCCGTCCGTATGTATGAAAGCGTCGATCTCATGATCTATAAGAGCTAGAGATTTGAAATTTACAACGTAGCTCCCAGTGCCCGCGCAGTATGAATTTCGTTGCGATAATCGATAACTTGCCCCTAGAGTCACCCAATTTAAGATGCCTTAAATGGCCCCAAGAAGAGTGACGACAGTCTTAAACGATTTTATTTATTTGTAATTGTGTATCTTTACTAATTCTGGATGTAGGATATAGCCAACGGGACAAACTTGTATATATATCGAATTTTATAAATTATGTTATTTATGTGTAATTTGTTAAAAATTTCAGATCTGGGAAAGATGACTTCATCTCAAAATCACTTTGGGAGTACCGTGCAGAGTCAATTCAATACCAAAAATAATACCCGTGTCATCGCTCAGAAAGGAGGTCTCGCTATTTTGCCATGTGTTGTTAAAGTAAACTCGCCGGCAACGGTAAGAAATATTCCGATTAGTTATTTTTAAATGTTGATGAACGGGTTTTTCTTTTAATTTACAATAACTTGTATATTCGCTGTTGCTTTTTGTGTGCTATTTGTGTGTCTTTGGTTTTATAAAAGCGCAGGGTTTTGAAAGAACATAAATTAATTAAAGTGAAAACTTGACAAGGTATAAAAACTACGATGTAAGATATTACGTCTATGCATATCTACGAACGCTTCGACATCAGTATCTATAGGAGCTATAAAAGCGAGGTACTTGAAAAAGAAAAAAAAAAACAAGCTATTCAAGAAAACTAGAGGATTGAAAGGCCATTAAATTTACAATTTTACGCTCGTATTTCTTGAAATCTCAATTGCAATTGCAATTGCATTGTAAGCTGTGCTGTGCGAAGTTTTTGATGTGGGCCTATATGCAAAGATCGTTTTTGCGAAAAACGGAGTTTGTAAGGGCGAAGCTTTATACTTCGTCCGAGCGGCTTCAAATACGCATATCAGGGATTTTTAAAATAAACATAAAATTGTTAAGCTGCATAAAAAATTATTTTATTTTAGGTTTCTTGGATACGAAGAAGAGATTTTCAATTGCTCACAGTCGGTTTATCAACGCATAGCAGTGACAAACGTTTTTTGGTTGAGCATACACGTCATATGGGCCATTGGTCGCTAAGAATAAAGGCTGTCAGAGAGGAGGACAAAGGGTTTTATGAGTGTCAATTGTCAATTTACCCTACGCAATCAATTTTTATAGAATTAAAAATAGTTGGTAAGTTTAAAACTTTAATTACATAAGAAAATGTATAAATAAATTAAAACTTTCCCTTTCTAATTTTAGAAGCGGTTGCTGAAATATCGAATGCTTCCGATATTCTTATTGACGAAACTTCAACCCTTCAACTACAATGTAAACTGAAGGGTGCCACGGAGAATCCTTCTTTTGTATTTTGGTAAGCCTTAATTAAACAAATAACTAAGACTGCATTCCAAACTCTTGATGTTTAATATATGTTCATAACATGAACTGCTTCAATGCTTCAGGCAACGCCTTGTTGAACCCCATTTCTTACATGTTTGTATCATTTGTACCATAAAGAAAGGTGCCTCTCCAAGAACCTGACCTTTTCGGATTAACAATCCATAATTAGCTAAAATAGCATATCATCCAGTTCAATCAAGACTTTGATATGATCACAGTTCTCAGAATTCATCCAAGGCTTCGCACCTGGAGATACGTGTTTACAACAAATGCTCATTTATTTAATAACACACAAATAAATAAAACCATTTGTTTTTTTTTATGCTTTTAAGGTATCACGAAAACAAAATGGTTAACTATGACGCCCAGGGCGGCTTTGTTGTGACATCCGTTACAGAAAATTCACTTCATAGTCAAGAAAATGGACAGGGCTTTCCGTCTAAAGCAATTGGTGGAAAAACTAAAGTATTTCGAGGAACAACGGATTTCAATGCCAGCAGTGCTATTGCCACTAGTGATGCGGGCCCTTCTATTTATACTTCACCTACGACCCCATTGTCGACATTACAAGTACAGCAACACAAATCCCCGTATCTTCCAAATTCGTCAATGAGCGTGCTTACCATAAAAACTGTCACATTTCATCATGCTGGCAACTACACCTGTGCGCCCTCAAATGCGCGGCCGGCAAGCATTACGGTCCATGTCCTAAGAGGTAAGTAAAACTGTACTGAATCTATAAAGATAAGTTAACTTAACTTAAGTTCAATATTCAGGAGAGAAACCAGCCGCTATGCAACATGCAAACCGAAGTATTCTCGATGGCGAAAATAATTCTAATAACACTGTTGGCCTAAACAGTATAAAAGGATTTAATGGTACAAACAGTCTTGTCATTACTGTGCCGTCACTTTTTTTATTTATTCTATGTGTATTAGGAAATTTGCTATCTGTGTTCCACTTACAAAATGTTAATAGCTGAAACTGTTCGTAAATAGTAATTTTAGTCAGTTGACTTTGGCAATTGTATTTTTAAGAATTGTATATAAATATAAACTCATGCATACCATTATGATATTAATATTAAGATATATAGTTTCAATTGTAAAAGGACTGGCCTATAAGCTACAAGAATTAGCAACTGATGTCTCCGTGTAGAAAGTATTTCATTGCTAGCCACTTATAAGGTAGTATTTTTTAAGTCAAAAGTTATTCATTGATTTCTATTCTAAAATATCGTCTATTGAATTTAAGTTAAGGTCTCAGTATATAAACTGTGATATAATTTAACATGCAATAAAAAAATAATATTTCCAAAAATTTTAAATCTGTCAGTTAGTCTTTAACCCAAATCTGATTTAAATTGGTTATAATCGTTCTACCTATTCTTATAAGCCGTACATAGAGGTACTAACTATATTATGTTAGTTTAAGTATTTGCCGCGCCGATAAAAAATAAATTTTTAAGACAAATCCAAATAAGCAATTTCTAATTGATCTTATGGTTAATATTAAAAATCACAAATCTAGCTATTTTTTTTTCTGTGTCAAGGCCGCAACCTTTTTTTTTGGTACAACATTTTTTTTCGGGTAAATGTTTAGGATAAGTAGATGGAATCATCTCCGATTACATATTCTTACTCTTTATGTCGATCTCAGAACCTAAACTATAGTTATAAAATTTTGTGTCGATAACGAGCTCATTCTTTTTATATCAATTGTTATCCCTATAAAAATAAGAACGGTTTGAGGTGATGGGAAGTAGTTCTTTCTGTTGCAGCTTCATTTGGATTCGGTTAAAGGAATAAATGAATAATAATAATTTAGGAGCTTGGTTTAGTAATTATTTAGGTAAAATTACATCTTAACATAAGTCAATGGACTTGCTGCCTAAATGTTTTACGATATATGCACAACAATTTTGTTTTTTTCTTCTTCTTTAGTTTAAAAAAATGGCACTTCTGTGTTACTATTAGACGTTTACTTGTGATCAATTATCTTTTTTTTTTATTATAACTTGCATTTACATAATTTTTAATAAGAATATAAATAAATATTTAATGTAAAACTAAACTTAAAAAAAAACAGGTCACAACAAATATTAAATTTACTCAGAAAAGAACAGAAAAACAATATGTGCTAAAATAAAGATGCAAGGATCTCAGAACTAGAGCTAGACTTGAAACTTAAAACGTAGGTCCCACTATTGCCGCGCAGTTCGAGTTTGTTTCCGATAATCGATAACTTTCCCCGCAATCGAAAAAATCGAGTCCGTTTTCTTATGTGGGCAAAATGTAGAGGACAAGGAGCTAAGCCCCGTGAAACTCGGATGACATTTGACCTAGTTATGGGGGTGGGAAATTTCAATTCAAAAAAATGCCTATGTCTACATAAGATATTAGAGGGTATCATTTTTACCTAAAATTATATTGCCAGACTTAAATATATGCCAAAAGTAATCTAGAGCCCAACCCAGAAAAAGAGCCAAACCTCGTGAAAATCTGACCGAGTTATAGATGTGGAAAATGTTCACCTATGTCTATGTAGGATATTAGAGGGTATCATTCTTAAGTGAATTTTCACCAAGAATAATGTTGCGTTCATTTGCGCTCGATTTAGCTTCCGATAGCCTGACCACAAAACGAAGATATCGACGCTGCCGATAAGAGCAAATGCAACACACGTCCGTGACAAAATTGCACATCGATATACTGGATATTAGTACATGTTTACACAAATATTTTTATTTTCCATAATGTTTTAAATCAATGCAGCCTAAAGTTCACATAAATCATTGGTACATTATTTTACTAGAGTTTGCCGCTTGCGGCGATAGTTTACCTATCTATTAGATATCGATATATTAAATTATTTGGTATTTAAAATAAATAAGGTATTTTCTGATATCAGAATGCGGTCCTACTCTAAAATAGAATGAAACAAATCGAAACCATTTATTTCATATGATATACTTATTGTCTATTTGCGATTTAAGTCAATAAAATATAAAGTGTAAAACAATTTTCAATTTGTTACGCGACTTGCAAGTGCAGTGTTAACGAATTTTCTCTTTGACTACACAAATATTAATGGTAAATATATTTTTGCTTTTATATGCAGTACATTTTACTTGGCGTTTGTATAAATAACAAGTGTTGTTTTACTGACAATTAAAGTGTACAAATGGAAATTTTATTACACAAAAACACATAATACAGATGTACAAATAGAAAAGTGATTAATTAGGGACACATTATTGGGTGCATAACTTTTTACTGACATACATGTACATGCAGGTAATTATGCATATAAGTATATAGGAATAGTTAATATTGTACAAAAACTAACTATTCAAATATTAACAAATGACATATACATACAAGTAGACATTAATAATATGCTTCTACTAATCAATTTTAAAAGCGAAATTCTTTTTGTATCAATTCCCAAACGTTCTGTGCATGTACACATATATAATATCGATTTTGCAACTGTAAACGAAAACACATACAAACATATGTACATACATACGGATGACGTTTATAAGTGTGTGTTGAAGACGTTCTGAATATTGCAAAATGAATGTGAAACTTCTGTTAACAGTGAAACAAAAGATAAGGCACACTTATCCTAACACTGTCCGACAAGTATAATGGTTATGGACATGATTGTACTAATTTTGGCTACATTTTCGGCTACATTTCAGGGGTTGTAAACTTTTACGATTGCCCACTTCCTGGTGGGCCATGTAAATAAAGAAGAAAAGCGTTAATTCCCTTCTTTATTTCCGAAGCATTTGATATGTACGCTGCGAAAAACGAAAAGTGTACAGCTGCGAGTTAAAAAACATCGATAAAATGCGCACATACCATGCCCATGCCAAAAAAAAAAAAAAAAAAACATGAAAAATAGGTACATAGGCTTATCTGGTTTCCAAAAGACAATACAGCTTTAAACTTCATATGAAAAATATTATGAACTTCTTCTTCGTTCTAATCTCGCTTGAAAATTAAGCCCGTCCGACTTTTATACTCCAGCCTCATTAACCCATTTGAAGTTGAAATTTAGATTATTTTTGCCAGCACCTCAGGGATCTTCTAGTCTCTTACTTAGCCGGGCTAGGGGATATCATAAACCCTCTTCTACCAAGTTTGCTTCTATACGACTCAAACCCTTAACAGACCCCCTTCCTCAACAGCGGTACCAATATTTTACCGACTTAAACTATTGTTATACTCTGATCCCATTGAAAATGGGTAACAATTTGTACAAATCTATCTAACAGGGAGAAGGACGCATCTCCGACCCCATATGCTATATATATTGTTTATCAGCATCAATAGCCGAGTCGATCTAGCCATGCCCGTCTGTCTGTCCGTATGCATGAAGGCCGGGATCTCAGAACCTATAAGAGACTCTAAATTTGGTATGTAGGTCCACCTAGTGGCCGCGCAGTACGATAATCGACCACTGGCTCAGCCGTCACGCAGAAAAAAGCTTCAATTCTAACATAGTGTTAGAGCTGGACTGCATACGTCTGAAGTGTGTGAAAAATTATCTTTATTTATTATTCTTAGCTCCTCTTAAATCCTTTACCACGCAACTATACAGCTGGCTTGTTTTTAATGGTTTTCGTACAGACTTTTAGCCATTGTTTTTCCAAAACTGCGGATTGAAATTAAAATTCAATAACCATCGTTTTACCCCACTTTATTGTAGAATTTCCCAAAACCCAGTTTAGGTGTAAAATTATAAAATGTAAAATAAAAAATAAAACTTTGTATTATAACAAATACTTAACTTGTTAAACTTCTTTACAAACATATTATTATTGTCTTCAAAATGCTACAATACTACATTTTCACCTTGTTTATTTTTATTTTAGGTTGAAATGAACTGTATCGGTGTTTAATATAAATATTAAAATAGCGTGTTGATTATGGCTGCGCATCACTATACCGTCGAGGTTGGCGATACTAATTTCACAATTTTGAGTCGGTACATTAAATTAAGGCCTATAGGATCTGGTGCTCAAGGCATTGTTTGGTAAGTAACGATTAGTAATCTCACAAATATATAATAACTTTACTATGTAGTTATTTGCACTTTAAGGCTGGCCTAGTCGATTTGGTCTTGTCCATTTTGTCTGTCCAGCCTTCTGTGCGCTTAAGGAGCTTCGATCTCAGAACCTATAAACTAGACTGAAAGTTATGACAGTTGGTCGTCGCAGACTTTTCGGCCTTGGAGCAATCACAGCCCCATTTTCATACACGGAACCCAATGAAAATGGGTGCAGTCGGTCTAGCCATGACCTTCTGTCTGTCCGTCCGTCTGTATGTATGAACGCAAAGACCTCAGAACTTATAAGACCTAGAAAATTGAAATATTTATTTCCTAAGACCCTCCGATAATCGATATCGTGCCCCGCTTTCAAACAATCGATAAAATTCGAAATAAAGAAATCATTTTTTTTGTCACCAAACCTGCCAAAACTGTACATAGCGTCTAGAATAGTATATATAGATCAATTGTCTGTCATGTTAAAGCTTTCACCAACCCACCTTCGCTTGTAACTATAAATAAAAATAAATAAAAATGGTACCCTCAAATATCCTATATAGACTTGGGTCAAAATTTCCCAGCCCCATAACAGGGTCAAAACTCAACCGATTTTCATCAAGTTTGCTCATGGCGTGGCCTCTAGATCAAGTTTAAATTCATGTAAACAAATTCAGCCTTCAACCGCCTTTTAAAGCCCTACATGAGAACTAACTGAATACATGTTTCATCGATTTTGGAATTTCCAACTGCTGCCGTGGTAAATTGACGCGAAAATTTGCTAAAATTTGTACAATCGAATCGGCTTCAAACACATACTGAAAGATATTTGTGAAAATTTGTATGATATGCTTTACCAAGATGAAGGATAGTTTACTTTTCGGATTCCACCATTGTTGAGCTGCCAATGTTTGTTAGAAAATCCTAAAACTATAGCCATGAATTGAAGAATAATTTGGCTTTTAACAAAAACACTTTAAAAGGAGTAAATCAATTATGAACGAAAAGAATTCAATAAGCTTTTTACCACAAGATTAACATGGCAAGAAACCGTTGATTGGAATTTTTGGTTCATTGTTTGATGGACTTTATGCATGCCTTTGAAATAGGCTTGAAGTTCAAGATATATGTTTTAAATTTTCCCCGGCAGTAGCTGCGTCAACTATATTTAAATTAAATAGCCTCTGCCTCAAGAGAATACCGGTTCATAAATATTTTCGTTACAGTGCTGCATATGACACGATTACCGAGCAAAACGTCGCTATAAAAAAGCTATCTCGTCCATTCCAAAATGTGACGCATGCCAAGAGAGCTTATAGAGAATTTAAACTAATGAAACTGGTGAACCATAAGAATGTAAGTGATTGGTAATTTTTTCAAAAACCCCGAAAACCAAGTATTGTTTCTCTTTAGATTATCGGTTTGCTTAATGCCTTCACTCCCCAACACAATTTGGAAGAATTTCAGGATGTTTACCTTGTGATGGAGCTAATGGATGCTAATTTATGTCAAGTTATTCAAATGGATTTAGATCATGATCGAATGTCTTACTTGCTTTACCAAATGCTATGTGGAATAAAGCATTTACATTCCGCTGGAATAATACATAGAGTTAAGTATTGTTTGCTTTAATCGCTGCTGCTTTTCTGCTTTTTTTTTTGGATTACATTCGAAAGCAATGTAAGAGCTACAGCCGCTGGTAATTTTACCCAGATTGCGGCGTAAGCGTTTTTATTGAGAACAGAGAATTAAAGGTCTTCGTGGAGTACTACAGCAACCCCATCTTCTCTTCACAGGATTTAAAACCTTCCAATATAGTTGTTAAGGCCGACTGCACTCTAAAAATTTTGGACTTTGGACTTGCGCGTACAGCTGGAACTACATTTATGATGACACCTTATGTCGTAACTAGATACTATAGAGCTCCGGAAGTCATTTTGGGTATGGGATATACCGAAAACGTTGACATTTGGTCAGTGGGCTGTATCATGGGTGAGATGATAAGGGGTGGAGTTCTATTTCCTGGAACTGATCATATTGATCAGTGGAACAAAATAATTGGTAGTTATCTATGGAACTGTAAATCGAAACATTGTATAATTGTTCTTAAATAATTATTATAGAGCAATTGGGTACACCGTCCCCATCATTTATGCAGCGTCTGCAACCAACTGTTCGTAATTACGTGGAGAATCGTCCAAGATATACAGGATATTCGTTTGATAGGCTTTTTCCTGATGGTCTGTTTCCTAATGACAGTAGTCAAAATAGTCGAAGGAAGGCTTCTGAGGCAAGGGACCTTCTCAGTAAGATGCTGGTAATTGACCCTGAGCAGAGAATATCAGTAGACAGAGCTTTACAGCATGAATACATTAATGTATGGTACGACGCTGAAGAAGTTGACGCTGTAAGTATAAGCTTTTATTTTTTGCCTATGCTATTTGGGCATTTTGGAAATCTTTATTTTAATAATTTAATGAATCGGCGAACCAAGGTCCTATCCAAAACCTAGTTTCGCGAAAATGAAAAATCGGGTTTATGAATAGACTCTTAAGGCGCAACGTTAACCAATCTCCTGAGGCACGCATGAAGTGTAAAATGCATCCCGCATCTTTGCATGGAGAGAGTTTTTATTCACATCTGCAGCAGTCGTTATAGGATTCAAGTAGTTCCATTTCAGTCCGGTTTAGCCGAAATTTGATAAGGATTCTCACAGATTTCGTGTTTGACTTTATCGCTTAGAGGTCCCGCGTCACCTACGTAGCTGTCTAGCTTAGATCCGTCTTTTAAAGTTCTGTTGTCTATAGAAGATAGCAAGAGTAAAAAAGGGAATAAAAGGACAGCACATTCATATAGCCCATCATACTATACAATCGCAATCGGATTTTAGTGCCTATATCTTTTAACGCTAAAAAATTTACTCGAAAAATATGATATCGATAGCAACATTTATCGATTGCTTGGAAACGGGTAAAGTTATCGCTTATCGGCAACAAACACAAAGTGGAAGGGCTCAAGGAGAGGACCTATACGTCTGCCAGGGCATCTTGGAAGCTCTGAAGATAAAAGTTTAATTTTGATTTAATCTTTTTTTTAAGAATGTATTTTGTTATTAGTAAGTAACTTATGTAATATAATACTTGTATGTTTTTTAAAGCCTGCTCCAGAGCCATATGACCATAGCGTCGATGAGAGGGAGCATACTGTTGAACAGTGGAAGGAGCTTATTTATGAAGAAGTAATGGACTACGAGGCGCACAATACAAGTAATATTAACCGATAGAGCAAAATTAATTTGTTGATAAGACAGTTATTTAGCCTTACATCTATCAACAATACAACAATTTTATTAATATTTATAGTAATCACAACTACAAATAAAAATCATAATGTTTAATGTACTTATGTACGAATTGTTGTTTTAACATACACATATAACACAATTCTACAATTTTAAAATATGTTTACCAACAGCAAGGACTTTGAGTATATAGGATGGCGACGCGAAATAAAAAGATATCTTTGAAACAGATATTAAGTCCAACTTTAAATAGTTTTGCTCTTTCAAGCGTATAAGAAACACGATTGAATAAATCATCTTCAAGCTCAGTTATAGTGTATTGTTGAGCAAGTTGTATTGCATTGCCAAATCCTGCGACGCTTATTGCATAAGGATACAATAATGAATAAAGTGGTTCTCCATCCGAAAGTGTTAATATTATAAGTGTTGGGACTAGTTTGGGTCCGTTTGATCATTCAATTTTAAATCTTATCTGTCGGCGACCAAGATCATAATGGGATTTGGTATTGAAAAGATTGGGGGGGTGGGAGGAGCCGCATGAGTCTACATCGGACAAGTCATCATCGAACACTGTAGCTTCGCACTGAGCCATGATCTCAAGCTTTGATCATTTGTCACAGTACTAGATTAATTAATATTTTTTATTTTTTTTCCTTAGATATTGTAGTCTCTAAGATCGTAGCTTGCACACGGACTATCAGTCGACTTGATGGTCAACTGAAGATACGGATGTTGCTATATCGGCTTAACCTTTGCCCAAGAACCGGATACATACCTAAAAGGAAGCACCTCCTTCTTGCAGGTACGCTTACTCTGATGCTTACCTTTAACTGGGCTATTTTTGATAGCGTTTCACGCAACAAAAATAAATGTAGAATTGCAGGCTTTCCTGCTCATTGCCAATAGATTGTTGGTATTTTCAGACTGAAGGCGTATTTACGCATTTCGCTTAGTTTATTCGTTTTTACATGAAAACTTTCTTTAAATAAACAAACATAAGAACAATTTGATTAAATGTTACAAGATTATGAGAGAGAAACATTTTGGAGGAGCTTTCATCTGAGAGAAAATCAACATTTTATGGTGAGGTTAACTTCGGAGAGCAAATATCTATTCTAACTATAAAAACATTTAAAGATAACGAATTGATCATCTGACGATTCTACACAAATGATATGAATGCATTTAACCTAGTTAAGTATAGTCATAGTAATTACAAATTAAACTTAAAAAAATAGTAGTTGAACAACAGCGAAGACAATAATTAAAAAAAAAATAGTTATAAAGGTCCAAAAAGATTCACCGCTGGGTGGTTATCAGCTGTATTTCCCAGAAACTGGCCGTAAAGCTCTTTGTACCGATCAAGTGTCAGTCCACCACGTTTCTTATCATCATCCTAATAAATAAAAGTAAACATGAAAATAGCACCAGCACAGTTCATAGTGAAAAATCATTTACACTCAATAAAGTATCAAACGCCTTGTCAATGGGTGCAATATCATCAACAGCTACCCTTGTAATACAGTTGTACCGATATTCGTTTACTCCAACTATTCCGTCATTATCGATATCAAGCAGTTTGAAGTTAGACTCAATGAATGCTCGCATTGCCTGAAAATAACAAAACAATAAGTGATTAATAATGAAACATTTTCCATGATTTTCGACTATTATAGAGAATGGAATATATTCTACCGAAAAGGTTGGGTTGGCTAAATTATCAAATAGGCATCAGAAAGGTCGCTAAACATTAAATGTTATTGTTCGAAAGTTTATTTTCCGAAATGTTTCCGAAATGTTCCCAATGGGTGTAGGGGCAAAGAAATGTGTTTGTGGCGGAAAGTCGGCGCGGGCTTCAGGAAATCTTTAGATCGGCATTTAATTGCCCCAGATCACGAACGCTTTTGGGAGCTCCATAAACAATACTTTGTGAAAGAAAGAAATTACCACTATATCTTACCTGCGGAAATTCTTCATATTTTTTTCCAACACAGGTTTTTTTGACAGCATCCTTGAACTCCTGGTTTGAAATTTTTCCATCCTAAAATATATAAAAGTATAAGTATCAATGATATAAAACGTCTGGAAAAACAAAACATATTCATCCTATTTCAATAAATTTTATTGAAACGAATTTCTACTAAGTGCTCTTCTCCTCGATTCTCAAGAATTCAAGTAGGCTCTGCAGTTTTTCTTGCTTAGCTAGTAGTGTAGTGTTTTTTTTTGGTTTTTTTTTTTATTTTTTTGTTGTGCGTTTTGTACAAGCTTTTTTATATGCATGTACATATATGTATGTGCATACAGTCATTCTGGCTTAGTCTCTCCAATATTTGGGCAATGAAATAATTGATTTTTAACATTTTTGTATATTTTAATTTACTTTACCTTGTCATCATCTGCAATTGCAGAAATCTCTTCCCACAAATTCTTCATTAATTTCTTATACTCATCCAACCGAGCGGTACTGCAGTCTCCCTTTCCTTCCACGACACATGCTCGGACTGCCATGCATAAGAAGTCATTTTGATCCAAAAATCCGTTGTTGTCGATATCTAAAATGAAAACAATTAAATCGATCAAGTCAGAACAATTTTAGCAAAACAATAAATTAAATGAAATGTATACAATATAGTATATCTCGCCATACGAAAGAAACGTCCAGTTCTTAATGATCGGTTGGAACATTTTCTTCATGTTCTCATTTTCTAAACCGACTCTAAATACTTAAAAAAAAAACCCCAAAACTGCCCGTTTGACCTGATTAGATTAGATTGTTAAGCGAAAAATGGGCGCTTAATATCATAATGCTGGTCGTTCAGTGATACCCCAACATTTGTTGAACCTAAATATGGAAATTATTAATCCAAGCTGCACAGAGGTTACGAGCTTCAGAGAGAGGTCTGGCAAGTCTGTTCGCTTCTGGTCTCAGCTAATCGCTACATCTGTCTAGACCTGCTTCCGTTGCCACATAGGTTGGCTCGATGACAGCATTGTATACGGCCCTCTTACATTTAGGGAGATAATCCAGTAAAGGCAACCCGACGGCTGCCTCATACTCGCCTGACGTCGAGTAGATGAAGCAGGTTGGCAGTTCTGCCTTCTTCACCTGGAACTATCGTATTTCGGCATAAACCAAACTCGAGATGTAAGGGGTTAGAAGCTAGGTTCTCAAAAACCATACAAAGCGAATGGAGAAGTCTGATTGGTTAATATGGATCATCAGAATCCTCGCCAGCTGCCAACTTAATCGATCATTTGCATATGGATCTATACTATAAAAGAATCGCTCGCTCCGCAGAACATTCAAGGTGGCGTGGCATATCTTGCCGTGACCTAGGGGTTTGACCACGTCGATCACCCCTTCGACTCGTATAGATCTTATCGGAAATTCCATCTCTAGGTGCTGCGCCAAAGTTTCTGCATGCTCCTCGTCTGATTATTATCCAGTCGTAGTTTGGATTGGCAAGTAACGCAGGGGTTGGCACTTAAGAGAAACAAGACAGTATCGAACTTTGGGCAATGTCGGTATTGTGAATATCCGTTAAGATGGAGCAGGAGCCTCGTATGGCTTGGAGCTAGTTTTTGGCATCAACCTGTTTGGGGTCACCAGTGGAAGGAATAGGGTTGGCGATATTTCCTTTAGTTCATCTGCAGTAGGTTTTATTTGGAAGGCTCTTCAGCTTCTGGGTATACTTGCAATTTCTTGGTCCGGGAATGGGTCACAATGGAACGTCATTTTATTTTAAATTTGATTATATTTTTTTTCGTTCTTTATTTTTCCCCAGCACTGTCACTGCAAGTGACCACGGTTTCGTTTCCTATTTTTGCACCTTTAAGGTATTCATTTTACCTAATCTCTTGTGGAGTCTATACACCCTCACCTGCTCATCCTTACCTTAAACCCTCTTCTCCTATAGCAACTGCAATTCGCGCTAAGTGCCTGTTTGCTTTAGGAGTAGTAAACAAAGTTTAAAAAAATATATGTTCCACAATAGGAATCCAATCCGAAACAGACCGCACAAATTGTTACCGACTCGATTCGACAGCCATGCCAAAAATGCATGTTCGACGAAAAAAGTATTAAAATAGCTGCACATACACACAGTACAATCGCAATTACAATGCAGTTGATATAATTTAATAAAGAAGATCAAGAGCGTGTGTGTGTGCGCGCATGTATACAGAAATTCTTCAAATTCACGCTAGCTGGCACAACGTTATTTATATAGCTACGGGCTGGGGGCGGCGTTTAGCTATAGCTATAAAAAGATTTGGGTGAAACCTGAAAGATTTGCTCAAATAATAGGATTTCGATATCGATTTATGTCGATTACTTGGAAACTGTGTGTGTAGCTCTTACATGTTCTTAAATCCTTGCGTTTATATTTAAGGACAGGCAGTTAGAAATAAACAAACCAGGTTGCGGGTCCCCAACCCAAAAGCAAGGTTAGGCTCCACATAGTCAAAGCGTATGCAGTACCTACTCGCGGAAGTTCACCGCGCTTGACTCTACAGTCTATCAAGCATGACTAATGAGCATTGGTACCAAAGCATATTATGCTTTGTAGAGTTAAGGTAGGATTATAAAAGTGGCCTATTTCGCGATCGATTCAGCGGAGAGAGAGAGAGTCTAGAACGTAGCCTAGCCCGGGTAAGGATGCGTAATTGAGCGGCACCTGTTCCCGTCGAAGGTGGTAGAAATTTGTCTGCAATGTCTGCTTCCTCATATAGAGGAACCAACGCACGTTTGTCATGACTGGTGTCCTACATGAAATACACCGACTGAGGGTTGGAAGATCAATGGCCTTGAAGGGCCTGACCTTGGCTCTTGGGGCAAGCACAGGTCTCCCAGGACTAAGGAGCCTGTCCATTTTGCCAAAATTCATAACAACTTTCACAAAAAGCTTAGTATCCAAATTTATAACCGTAGCCAATTATTAAAAAAGAAGAAATGTGTGACCCTCAAACACAAAGCATTTGCAGCCAATTAATTTTGGTTAATTATTTTTATAGTCTTTTGTGCAACACTAAATCTTTTCTGTACTTTTCTTATATTGCGTGGATATTGTAAAAATTGTAAACAGCATATCGTTCAATAATTATTTTATATATGTTTAACCAATGTTTTTTTTTTTTTTTTTTTTTTTTTTTTCTAATACTTACCATACATATATCGCACAACAAAGTCAACTCGACTATCCCAAGAATAAGCCATTATAACACAGTTCCTTTATTATTCATAAAATGCCCTAAGCGAAATAGTAATAACAGATTTGTCCTTTATTAACAATAATATTGTTTTTAGTTCAGATCTTTGTGGCAATTTATTTAATTACTACCTTAAGATTCGCTTAATTCAAACTAACTAAAGTTGTTATTGACGGGAGCATTTCCTTTGCAACATTCGATTTATTTTATAAGTGCATCTAAACATTATCTAAAAATAAATTACGTTTATATATATATATATATATACATATATATATATATATAAAAACGATTTACATATATATATATAAATTTCGTATATATATATATATATATATATATATTAGAATAAATATATATATATATATATGTAGAAAAAAATATATTTTTAGTGCACGCATAACCTATTGTAAAGAGATTTTCGAAAAATGTTTGCATTCTTGTTATTTGTATAGCAAGCAACGAAATTTCATCTTTCACCTTTTAAGAACGAGCATAAAAGAATGCTATTCTAAGATACTCAACAAAACACCATGTCGGGCAGAGAGAGAGTCTTAATTAATTATCAAAATACTATATGAATACGTAAAATATTTATAAAATCTCTGGTTTTTTTTTTAAGACAAACGCGAATAGGCACTTAATTAAAATTGAATATATTTTAAAGAAATAGTTCCAATCTTTTAAATAATAATAATATATTATGTATATAAAATTGATAGCAAAATGTTTCAAAATCCTTCAACGAAATTTGCAACGCATAAAAGGAGATATATCTGAAAGCATAATTTGTAGCTATGTTCGACTATCCTTTACCAGGTGCAACACAGAAGAGTCATAAGTTTCATATAGTACAATCTGCCATCATCATATAAATAACTATATTGCATAAGCTTAATATCGTAAAAGCTGGCGATTCCCGGCCTTACCAGGTCGCAGCTTTTTTTTTTTAATTTTAGACATAAAACGACATCAACTTCTCGCCCGTGCAAAATGTAAATCCATCCTTACTATGTTGCACGCCACGTCTCAAGTTATATTTATGAAACGCGAGTTCCGCCCCCAACGCAAGGGAAAATATCTTAATTGACTTGGCACTCGGCGCAGCATCTTTTAAATTCTGGTCGTTGACGCTTATTGGTACACCATAAAGCAAAACGTAGCTCTTCAAACATTTCAACCCAGGGAGAACGTGACGTAGATAAATAAGTCGAATCTTGCCTTGTTGATGAATCCTTAACGGTGGATCCTTGATTCTTACAGCTGCTGTGACTAATCCGTAATGCTTTCGCCTTTTGTTGAAAATGAATCATGAATTCAAGGAATGAAACAATAAATCCAACCAATGTTCCTGTTAGTAGCACCACGAATACGCCACCTGATGAATTACGGCATAACATTAAATATTCAAATAATATCTATTTAGCTAGGTTTACCTATACTTTCGAGCCCCAAGGCATTTGCCTTGGACTGTTTATTGTTGCTTATCCGCTTACAGGTCTCGTCCGTGTTCTTCCACCACTTGTCATAAAGCATTTGAATATCGCCCTTTTCTTGAAGCTCCAAAATAGCCAACGATATCTTGTCCCGCCACGGAGATCCCTTAGGTGTGGCAATACCATATCCTAGTACATTGCGAAAAATCAAAGGTTTAATATAGAAAAGAATGGTTATCTTTGGCACGCCGAAGATTTGAATGCCGTGCAAGCATACAAATTTGTTATTTCCAAGAGATAATCGGACAGGTAGGATCGGCAACGTCTTTCAATTTGTATGTCCTACGGGTACCAGTCGGAGAATGACTGACCTACCTAATTTGATCCACAATAACTCAGTAAGCCCCAACTGGTAGTGGTTAGGTATATGCTATAAGTCCTATAAAAGATACTTAATGACGCTCGACTTAGTTATACGAATATTGTAGATATAGTGTTTGCTTCCGCGACAAGGATGAACAATTATCTATGTAAACTTAGCTTAAGGAAGCACCATAACATTTTTGTGCACAAGTTTTCATTGACTAGCCTGACTCTAACCTTTAGCACAATAAGCTCTTTTGAATTTAATGAAGATCATTCAACGTGTTTTATCTTAACACTAAATTATTACTTCTTCTAATTCCCGCCGAGGATTTCCCATTCTACACTTATTTTCCTGATTCTTTGTAAGGTCTTCCCCTTATCCAAATGGAGTTACTATCGACTTATTTATTTGATTTGTTAAAAATTAAAAGCAATTATACCTTTAGTGTCCAATAAGCCGCCTATTTGAGTTAAGTTGCAGTCTCGCTGAACGATATAGTCAAGCATTGTGGATTCCATCAGGAATGCGTAGTTACCCTGGTTAACACGCCTTATGCCGTCCTCATAAGTTGATGTGAATGCCATGGGCTTCTTATTGTCCATAATTCTCCACATCTTTTTATAAGTTTCAATCATAGAATCCTAAATGAATTTACCTATAATTATTATGTTTAAATCAAAAAATAATTTATGGTGAAATAATCAAATCAAATAAACAAATTTGGGCTAGACTGCGACCAGAACTTCTTCCTCTGCTTCCGAAAACTGACTATGCTGAATCTTTCGCTTACCGGAGAAATTTCCGCAAGGGTTCTATTATTATAATCGATTGGATAAGGCAATAACAACCTGGTCGCTGGTTTATCGTCCTTCATTATTACTTTTGGAGCTGCGATATGCGGTACTCCTAAGTGCCCTGCGATCTGGGCCATTTCAAGCTTCAAACTTCCCAAACAAGCGGCGGCTGACATTGCAGCTCGGAAGCAGTTTCCCCCTGGTTGGGTTATGCGACTTGGTTTCCGAAAGGAATCGAAAGGAATGTAGCGGCTGCTGCAGAGGGTAGCTCCAAGGTATTGCCCGAGTAATTTGTCCCCATCCTATTCGTTGGCGAAGGCGGTTTCTGGCGGCTTTAACTAACTCGGAAGGCTTAATCGGGTAGTTTTCCAGTGGGGTCAATTTCGTTCAATTGATACTGGCCTGCACTGTTCCTACGAGGTCGGCGGGCTCTTCTATGTTTAGCGGTATCCTTGTCGTTAAGTAAAATCAAACGGCGGTTGCATATACGGTCCGTCCGTCAGTGTGAGCCATGTTTTGTCATTCCGTCCCAAAGATACGCGCTATTCGCTCGCTAATGACCGACCACTTAGCCACTTAGCCACTTAGCGCCACTCCTTGTATGTTCAATAGTCACTAGAATCTTGGTCACCGGTCACCGAGCAGACGGAGAAGTTGACCGTTTCCGGCCCCATTTGGCGACAGCTACCAGTAGTGCCTTGAAGTCCACAATTCCCAGCCGACCAACCTTTGTGCGCTGCAGCATTCCTTCGAGAAAAGTCCTTTTCCTTCACAGTTTCAACATCCACACTCTACCTCCGTGTCCTGGTTTACAATCCCGTTGACGACCTCTGACATCCTAGGTGAAAAACCCGTATTCTGTGGTAGCTCCATAATTCCGTAGATTCTTTGATACGCAGGCATGATAGGTGTCAACATGTCGGGCGGGATAATCGACTGGGTTAGCGTAGTCAGTGTGTCGCATTTATGCCATTTAAAAACGACCTTAGTCACAATCTGAAGTCTTTCCTAATGCGAGTTGTATCCTACAATTGCAGAAGGGTCGAAGCGGCAAGAAAAATCGAGAAAATCCTAATCGAATCCGTGCTACGATTCTTACCGCACGTTGTATGTCCGGAACCAGCTCTCGCTCCGACTTGAAAGCATTTCTGGAAAAATTGCACGTTTTTTGATAGCTGTCGATTCTTTCGTTGGTTAATTAATTGTTTTTAACGTTATAGTTCCTATGTTGGTTATTCGCAGGTTGATGACTTAACCCCTTCCTTCATTCTTGGGTAGGATCCGCTTTATCGGCCATTCTCTTGTATGACGCGAATGTCGCCGTGTCTCCACAGAAGCTGTCCGTTCAGCGCGATAGGGTAATTTGCCTCCAGAAATTAAAAACGGATTACGGTATATTACCCTTGTTTTCTCATGTTTCCCCACTAATATTGTTGAAATAAATCCTTGATAGGCACAGAAATCTATCACCAAGCCCCACCACACAAGACTACCCCTTTCGCAGTTGCAAGCTCTCAAGCTACCAATGCAAAAATCGCCAAAGCGCACCCTCACATATATAATATATATGTCAATACTTGTACAACTGGGACATAAATTATAAATTTTGGTTTACCATTTGCATAAACCAATATTTACTTCACTTACCCGAAAAAATGTCATTGTTGATCCACTTTCCAAGGTCCCGTATGAGATTTCCGTCTGGCTAGCCAAATCTTCAGCATTTTCAATCGGGTTAATCATACGCTCGACAGTTAAAAATGCCGCCAAGTTGGCGGTATATGAGGCAACTATAATAAGGGAAAAAAAACCCCAAACACTGCTAATAATTCGGGTAGATGCGGCTCTTGGATATATATCGGATCCCTGCTGCATAAGCGTTCCAATAGTGAACCAAAAGCTATCAGATATCGAAAATTGGTTGATTATTGTTACGTGATCCACATCGCACGGGTGTACACTACGCCATTCGATCGGAGATAATTTTGCCAACAAATATATGGTCAACGAGACAAGTAAATATGCCGCTAAAACGTAAATCCATATTTCAATAGCTAATGGATTCATGAAAGAAAACAGTCGAGTTGGTTCTGTGGTGGGCACCTGAAAATATTTAATAATTCGTTATTTATTATATACAATAATATAAATGAAGAAGTCCATAAGATACGAAAGTCAACTAGACGTTTTGTCCGCGTCCATTGTCGCGGTCCGATCTAACGAACATGGGGTACCTGTTGTTGTTGGGCTTTCCGGGACCCTGATTTCGATTTGTATCGACTGTTTAGAAATGGGAAGAGCTATCAATTATCGGAAACCAACTCATACTGCACGGCCTTTAGGAAGACCTGTTACAAATTTCTCCAGTTCTTTTAGGTTCTGAGATCCATGCATACGGATTGATGAATGGATAGGCAAACGGACTTGACTATTGATGCTGATCAAGAATACATATTCATTATGCGGTCGGAGATGCTTTCTTCTGTTTGTTACTTAAATTTATACATATACATTATTCCCTTTTAACCTATTCGCAATGGATCCAGGTTATTATAGGATAACCTTGCTTTTCATGAACCGTTCTGGGATAATTTTTTGTAGGTCGCCTGAGTTAAATAATGTCTAGGAGAAATGGTGTACATATCTGACAGGATATGAGTTCAATAAAGATTTGTAATTTAAAAAAAAATAAAAACTCCCTATAATATTTAATACATACCTTCAACAAAATGCTGATGCCTAGATTCATAAATGGTTTTGTGAAATCTATAACACTTTCCCTTGCATAGGTGATTGTCATAGACCCAACAGCCAAGTCCGCCTTCTGAGAATAATAGAATTGTTTATAATTTATCGACTAGCACAAAACAATTAATAATCAATATCCTTTATAGACATTGGTCAAAATTGCCTACCCCTTGTATACTTACATATTTCATTAGCTGAGCGACCATTCCATTCCATTGGCCTGTTTCGGGATCTTTGGCTCCATACTTTCTATCAGGAACTAAATCTAGTATGTAGTCAAACCCGACCTCGTGCGATATTGTTTCCAATATATCGACACAAAAGCCATAAAAGCGTTCATTGCCGGTGTAGTTTTTACCGTAACGCATCATTACGTACGGCGTTTCCTAAAATTGAATAAACTAATAGGTAATAATATAATAAAAAAAAAAGATAATAAATGTTATAGACAGACCAATATTGTAATTACAACTAAAGTCACATTCATAGAACCAGCATCAAAAAATAATGAGGGCTCCGTTATATTAAGATGATCTTGAGGCGTCCATTCGCCTACTTTTACGATGGAGTGTTGCTTTAATTTGATTAAATCGAGCTTAAATTGAATTCGTTGACCATCTTTAAATTGTATAGGCCCCGTTAGACCTTTCCATTCAACCTGGTTAAAAAATAAATAAACTTTAGCAATTTTTGCATATATGCATTGGCTAGTGGACCTTTATAAATCGAAAACTTTGCGCTTAAACATAAGAGGCTAGCCCAACAAATTAAAGCTCTAGTCGGGAGTGCTCGACTAGGATACAACCTCAACGTCGTGTATTACGTCCTACTAGCTTTCTACTATATATACATAATTTTATAGATTTAGCACTTGGTAATATAAAATTTTTAACTCTAATAAATTAATGCCTTTACAAAGCTATATTGCAAGTGCAACTGGAGCACAAAGTTATACCGCATTAATATAATTGATCAAGCTCAGGCCTCCGTTCCACGGGACTTCATCGTCACAAGTCAAATTTGATAGGTGAATTAAGGGGTGCATAGACTGCAACCCGATGGCAAATACATAAACTGAGTCAAACATCAGAGCTGCTTCTGTCTGAAATATGTTTAATAATCATTATGGTTAAAAACTATTTACAAGATTGAATCTTACCTGAATACTAACGGTTTTCTTGTATTTATAAGTTGATTCGTTTCGGTTTAAATTTCCAATATCGAATAATTCCATTCCCTTAAGAATTTCTTTTACCGCTACATCGCCCATATCAACCAGTCGAAATGATGTTATATTCACAAAGTTGTATTTAAAATCCTCCAAATCAAAATTTTCCAAGTCGAAACTTGTAAAAAAGTAGTGGAATTTATACTCATTCATTTGTTGCTGAAGAATCTATATTAAAAAAAAATATATTAAAATAATATTAGTTAAAACATATTTAATTTTAGTTATATCAGCTAAAGCAACAGGAATTCCTGACTTAAAAATATGGTAAGTCTAGAGGTTTACATCACATCTATATCAAGCTTACAAAAATGGTGGTTGAGGACCGAGCTGAACTGACTACATTTTACTTTGTTGCTGACGTTCGACATTTTGCCTACATATTTCTGGTGCAATGTGTGTGTACATGTATACAGAAATTCTTGGAATTTGCGCTAGCTGCCGCTAATACGTGGTTTGCCAAAACACATTTTCTTTAATAACTTTTGCGTTTCATAACCGATCTTGATGAAATTTTCAACAGTAGATCTTATTATGCTGTAGAATATTCGTATATTCTTAAAAAGACAATTGCTTTAAAATTGTGGCTTAAATTGGAGGGTAGCCCAAATTGCAATAGTTATGATGTTCACTGAAACTTATCTCAATTTTTTTAAGTGCAAAATAAGATGATAGTGTTATGACTTAGAGCTCACATTTTTTAATAAAATTGAAATTCCAGCCGAGTTAGTGTCGATTAAGATATTGTGAATTTCATTGTTTTTGAACTCGTGAAGAACTGACAGGTACGAACCAGGCGATACCTGTCTTATATGCACCTCTGCTTCAATTGACCGCGAAAATTGATTTAATACTAATATACCTGCAGAAGAAAGTTGTTTTTAGGGTAGACTGGGTCCAATTCCATACGTCGGCTTGCACTTACCGTGGTCCTTTTCATATAAAATTCCAAACCTTGTCCAATTTAGATATCGTATAACATCGATGAAAGCTCGATTGATATGTTGCTGCGAGGGATGAACATTTATGGAGAATTTTTGGGCGGATCGACTAATTCCAATATCTGGTATATCAAGATCATCGCATATGGAATTAATATGGGTGGCCAAAAAAGAATCTGTTGGACTAAATATAGCCTGTACTCCGCCTTCGATAAGATTACATACTATTTAGGGTAAAAATATGATAAATATGAGATAATTTATTTCTATTAATGGTGTCATACCTTTTTGAACAGCCTCAAAAGAGTCCTTAGCAATGTATTGAATATGATGTACTAGGTCGGTATCAGGCAGCACACTCTTGTCATGATTGAGTCTATGTACAGCATATTGAAAGGCTACTTCTGGATCACTTTGTTGCTTGGATAGTTTTGGAAATAGTGCGCCTTTCAATTATATATGTTCATATGTATTTCAATGTATAAGTTCATATGTATTTTAAATTGTTACCTACCCACTTTAATCACGGAAGTTGAGGAAACAACGTAAGCTAGCAAATTAAGGCTGAATACAATTTTTATCACTGAGGTCATTTTCATTATATTAAGCTGAGCAGCAGAACACCTTTTGAATTCAACTTAATGCACTCAGAAACCCTTGCAGTGCTTTCGGTAAAGAATCCCAAGAAGTGCAGATATTCCAGATACAGATAAATGGAGAAACAATAAAGCATAGCTTTAGAGGAGCTCAGAGGTGTCTCCTTCTGACTGTTTCATACATTTGCAAAAAGGCGGCGGAACTTAACTTTATTTGCGAATTTTATTATATATATCCGTTAATTTCAGCTATTGTCAACGCTGCGACAATAGCGAACGAGAGCTGTTAATTATCGATAGCGAACCATAATAAATATCGAATTTTCGATTTGGCGGAAGCTCTTGGACATTAAAAATGTTTGAAACAAAAAAAGAAGTTAAAGTTTTCATTCCCAATGCTTTGTAGCTACATAATAAATTTCAAAAACTATTATATAATTTAACGAGCAGATAAAAAATCTTTGCACGCCCAAGATTTAAACCCCTCAAAAAACCCCCAAGTTTACGAGCGGATGAGTACAGGAAGTCCTCGATGGAGTATGAAGATAGACAACAATTTTTGAAGTTTGATGATGGAAATGATATCAGTAAGGGCCTTGACCTTGTAAGGGATCCAGCGATTGACTAGTTGCTACTTCAAATTTCTGTCGTAGATGCCACCTGCAGGCGCTGTATTTCCGCAAAAAGTCGGTGGCTTCGAGTTTGCGGTTAGGTGAACAGAAAATATGTTTACCTGAAACTTGAATAGCTCAAACAAGAAAATATTCGTGTCGCCATTCGCTCAACCGAAATAATTGCTAGAGAATTAAAAAAACCCTATCCATAGAGCAAACACATCATTTTTTTATTTACTCTATTAGTCTAAGTTAATACATTTTATATAAGATTATTAGCCAGTGGCTATACCTAATGCGATTCCTCCAATGAATGAGGTTATAAAAATATGGAGGTCATTTATTTTCGGTCCTTCTTCATCTCCAATATATTTTGCGTACCACTTCCTCACTTTTATTGTTTTTCCTTTAATTTTATCTTCTGCTTTGTCAAGTTTGCGATCCAAATACCTTTCCGTCTGAAAAGAAGAAGATAAATAAAAACTATTAATTAATCTGACAACATTATTCTTGATCAAAATTCATGTGAAATATCCTATATAGAAATGGGTCAATATTTCCCATCCCATCGGTCAGAGCTCAACCTATTTTACTGAGGTTTCGCCCTTTGTTCATGGCTGACAAAAAACAGACACGCATGTATGGAAACGCTATATCGACAAATTTATAATTGAAATAATATTTTGAAGATAGTAAGGTTTACCTTATCCAACCAATTTGTATCGTGGGGTGATATTGAAGATTCTACCTTTTCAGCTATTTTGTCCACACTTCTCGATAATTTCGGCCAGTCGATTTTAATAAATCCTTCTTGGTGAGCAATTTCCATTAAAATAATACTTCCGCCAATAGCAAACGCAGCAAACTTTCCAAATTTGATTGTTGTGTACCCGGTTACCCTATGAAAATACATAAGCATAGAAATTAAATGAACAGTGAGGTTTTTTCACCATTGCCTAGGATAATATAATTTTCTATTGAAATATGAACGTTAACGACAACGATAAACAAGCGACAGAAAGGCAGCGACAGCTTCTACGTCGACATTGACTGCATGCTGGAAAGCAGGCCAAACGTGGAGTTCCCTTGATGGTGGTGCTTGTAAGAAGACACCAATTTGAGGATGTCAGTGGGTGACGACCTCGCCTTCGTTGGCGTCCTTACTCCTGAGTAGGCTAAGGTCAAGAAACCGAGTGTCATGCAGACTTTGAAGAAATAAGATGCTTTTGGCGGCATAAACGCAGCTTTGCGCTATTTTTTGAAACGAATACGCTTATACTTGTACAAGTATAAATTTAACGGTCATGATTCCGCAATCTCACATGACCGCTATCAAGAATGGTAAACAGCTTAGACTTCTTAAAGGTGATTGTCGGCACAACCGATGCGAGCGACTAACAGAACATAAGAATTACAGAGTCACAGTTGGGCGAGTCAAACTATAGGCCCAAACTACGTCCCCCCTCAGCTAACTGGTGGTCGTCCTTGTGTCTCTGCAATGCTGCTTCTAGTTCGGTCGATGTCTGACGATGATTGGCCATGATAGGAGCTTTTGGATGAGCACTTTGTGTCCATGGATTTAGGCATTAATCGGAGATTAAAGCTAGATACCGCCAAGGTTGGGAAAAATCTGATATTTAGTTAAATAGAGCCTGGTTTTGGCATTTATAGACATTTTTATACTGTAGCGAAAACTGGTGCATGCATGTATGGAAGGAAGCCAATGTTTGTAAAAATAGTCCGGGATATTTTCTAGTCGAAATGTATTTCCCAAACAATGACATCACAGCTAAAAGTATAGCAGTTGTTTCATGCGGCGTTCGTTTTGTATGTATAAGATTTCTTCTTATTTCTGAGGTGTGACTCAATTGATAACATTGAGTCGATTTTGTTTTCGTTTACAATAATTTGCAAAAAGGAATTCAAAACGCATACCCTGTACACACATACACACCCACATACATATGTATGTATGCTGACATAAGTTTATATACTAGACAAAATGTATATAGGTAAAAAAGTAATTGTTGAAAATTCCTGTACATACCATCCCGAAGATACTCCAATTATTATCTGTGAGTAAGCTGAACGGCTACTAATGTCGCCTAATATTCCTTTTAAAAACTTTGATGCTCCTTCCATCGTAATGTACTTAACAAATAGTTGTTCACTCAGAGATTCGGTTAGTGATGAACATAAACATTAGAACATTGTTAAGATATTCGTCGATATTGAAAATCGATATATTCTAACATTATCGCTTACAGTTGAGTTCAGTTACCACCGCTAAGGAACTAATGCAGTAATGTTTCTTGAATTCTCGATTAGGATATAAAAAATCAATTTTCGACAGCGAATGGTATGTATAGGGACTAATATATTTAAAACTTATTAGGAAATTAAATTTCAATGGCAAAATGGCAAATGTTTAAATATCGATAACATTAAAATATCGATTGCCAGCAGCATCAATGGCAGCATCATTGGTGGCAGCTAATCTGTAAGTTGTCTGCAATTTTAACCTATACGCGTGTTCCGTGCGTCAAAACGTACCTATACGTTAATGTCCATGTTTCGATGCCCTTTGAAAAATCTCGCTCTCCAATTTTTAAATTTATTGTTATGAAATAACATTAGCTTGATTAAAATATGTCATTTTATATTGCAATTAAAGTAATGATCTTAAATAACATAGCTGTTTATGGTTTTTCTACACTTATCCGTATTTTAAGCCTATGGCCTAGCCGGTAGGACTCCACTACAAGCGATAACTTGCAATACTTATCGAATCACATTAAGATTTAATAATATGGAATAAGAGGTAATAAAATGTCATTCTTTGGAAAAGCTTACCAATTGAGAATGGCTTACACTCCATATCAAAACTGTCCATCTGCAACATTCCTTAACTCCTCTTCTTCTGTTAATGCCCACATGCGAACACGACTGTTGTTCGATTGCATAGCATCCAACTATGGCCTATATCTATATAGGATATTTGAGGACAGCCTGATCAGATGTATGATGGTGATGCGATATTGGTTTCGATGTTTAAGTTGAAACGCTGTGAAATTTTGATCCTCCGTTTCCCAAATTGTTGATTAGATATCTAAGTTGAATATTTAATGCAAACTTTAACTTCCTTTCTCCAATTTGCAGGTCATATGTCCTCAGTCAATGAGTAAACATGAGAATCTCTAAGAAAATATTTTACAAAGACTAATTCTATTATTAGTGTGGTTTCAAATTTAATTTTGCGCACTATTCGGCGCCCTACCGCGACTTAAAAAAATAATTATACATATCAGCATGTAAAATATCCCTATGAACCGATTATATTAATAATTTGACCGCAGCGTTGATGGGTAATTGATTGAATATATATATAGATAAAACGTGGAGTTATATATATATGGTAAACTTAAATTTAAACGTCAGAAAATTATAGCTAACAATAAATGTGTTAAAATCTAAAAATAATAAAGAACTCTTTAATTAAGGTTTTACAAATGTATGTCATACTTATTGAAATACAAAGTGTAAGAAATCGTAAGCATGGACAAGTATCGATAACGAAAAAATACCACTACAGGTCGACTCGTTTTTTTGTATTAATTCCATATGTTTCTATGTGAAATCATAGTTTTATATTCTTTCATTGTGAGCTACCGTTGTTTTGATTTTTTTAAAGGAGAAAGTTAAATTTACGGAAGTAATGTAAGTGTATAATATTTTGTGTGTTTACACATATGTGAAGGTGTAAATACAAATAAAGAATTACATTACGATAATGTGAGAAAGTTGTACGCCGTTAGCAAAAATGAATTTGCAATATATATATACCACAATATATATGTACATACGAATACATATATAGATATATATATATATATATATATATATATATATATATATATATTATATGCATATGTATGTATGTAATAATTGTAATGTTTTAACATGCACACAAACTTAACTGAGATAATTCGATCTTAGGAATTTTGCATGTCATTTGTGGTATATAGCATCAGTGCATTTCATTTTATTTGTGTGAAAATGTGCATTAAGATTTTATGCATATACAAACATTTATAATTTTGTGTTTGTAAGTACATAAACTCGATGAAATTCAATTAAACGTGTGTCTTTATTCGTATACCATATTGAGGAGTCACAAGTGTATTGCCTAAAGAAAATATTTTAATAATCCAATTAAGCAAAATATGTTTAGGCCTTGTCTCCTCCCATGAAAAAAAAAAAATATGGCATGAATATAAAAAGTTGCGAACAACTTCGTTTAAACAAAGAACAAGGGAGAGTATTTCAGCCAGACGTGCCCAGCTTTGGGGCATTCTGAAACTGGCTCTGAGCTGCCTCAAAAACACATGTGTATGTAGATAAGCTATCCCCAGACTCTTGGCAGTCGATGCGACTTGCCAAATATTAACGACGTGCGGCTCCTCGACGGTAGCGGGCCCGGGTTCACTGGCCAAAGGCTGCCTGGTCAGTACTATTGCATCGTATTATCTGGTGACCAGTGCCCATTTTTGTTGCTTATCATTTACTTATATTAAATACTTCCACTTTCCAAACAGCGACGTCCTTGTTCATGCCTATATCCTACGGATTTCTGCTTGGTTCCGCTCCGCTTGTTAATAACTTATCAGGAATATGATGCTGGCGACCACAGCGCATATTGCCAGACACACAGTCGACGCCAATGCAGGTTTATTGTTTAATTTTGACCTCCACTTCTCGATGGGACTTGGGTTTTTTCCGATTGGCAGGCTCAAAAGTGTCTGATATATATACTATATGATGTCGAGTGACGGCGATGCAGCTGGTCCGCGGCTTGCTTTGCGTACTTGGTGCCGTTTATGACACGAGGTGGGTGATTTAATTGGGAGCTGCAGTGTGCCTGGCAGACAACTATTGTTCCTGGGCGCATGTGTTGACAATATGAATCCGTGACAATTTGTCCTATGGCAGAAAAATTTATTTTATTAGAAGAAAGAAAGGAGTTACAAATAAAATAATGAAATACTAAATATATAGAGTGTGTAGACAGGTTTAAGAGATTGTGATGGGCGATCAAGGGGCAAGCTATAGCCCCTTTTAATACTCATAGCTAGGTATGATTAGAGAGTTCCCGTAGGTATCCTGAAGGCAACGATTTTATTGGTGGTAGAGAAAGTTAATTATCACTGCTTCATTCGAGCATTGTTCAGCGGTAGTTTCCATACCCTGAACCCATTGAAAATGTTTAAAAAGTGCATAATGTATTTGAACAAATCAAAATACAAATTGTAACAGGTAGAATGTATATATAATCTTGCATCAAACCGAGTCGATCTAGCCATGTGCGTCTATCAGCATGTATGAACGCAAGGATCTTAGAAACTTTAAGAGCTAGAGACTTGAAATTTTAGCTGTAGGTTTCCTAGTCCAGTCGCAGACTCGATCTGTTTCCGATAATCAATAATTTACTCCGTTTCCAAGCAATCGATATCGAAAAATATGTATCAAGTATCTTTCAAAGTATACCTTTCACCACCTGCCCGCTACCACCGAAAAGCTACAAATCAAGTTAATAACCCAACTTATATTGCCCACCAACTTAAGCCACAAGTTTAATGCAATTGACTTCTTGATAATACACGAATTTTCAATGGTACAATAAGATACTGTCGAAAATTTCATGAAAATCGGTTACGAAACACGATTTTGCGGCACCAGCGCAAATTGCAAGAATTTCTGTATACATGTATATACACACATTCATGCGCGTCTGCTTCGAATTCAGCAACAGCATTGCAATTGCGATTGCATTGTTTTCTGTGCTACTATTTTAATTCGTTTTTTTTTTGCACATTGAGGATTTGATTTACAAGTTTTACCGGTGTTAGTTATGCCGCTCCGTCTCGGCCGCCAGAGCCCCGTTTTTGGGTATGCCGCCGGAGCGATAGGGATATATTAGACAGTCCGCGGCCTTGTGTACCCTTAGGCCCTGTTGTAAAATCCACTATTTTTCTGTATGCTGTAAACCAGCAGCATCTTGTGACGGGTATCTGTAAAGAAGGCGCGTCCACACCGCGAAAAGTGCCGAATAGAAGGCGCTCTTCTGCTTGGCTTCCTCTTGAGAAAATTGCACACATCCGAGATATTTCTTAAAAGCTGCTGCGGCGACTCCATGGTCAATGTCCATTGTATATTGAGCATTGCAGAGAAAATTAGTATAGGTTTCCTGGTCCTCTTGTTTTAGACTGCTTTGTTTGCGTTCTCGCCCGTGGATCTCGAATTGTACCGCTTGATGGTCGCTGAATGTAAATTGTGTGCGTGTGTTTTTTTTTGTTTTGTATTCTGTTTAATTACAATTAAATTAAATACAGTAGTATAATACGTTTATTTGTATTATGTCTATTGTAGTTGGGCAATGCATAGGGAATAGGTAGCGTGGATTACCTCGAAACGCCGCAAACCATTGTTTCACAGGCATGTTTTTGCTACCTTATCTTCCTCTGTTCTTGCTCTTCGCCACTTCGTTTAGCGGGACCATCCCTTAGATCACAAGTGCCACTTCTTCTGATATCGTTCGGAAGGCGTAGCTGGCCCGCAGAGCTCTTAGGCGATATATTGCGTTAACGCCTCGGCTATAGCTATGAACATGGGGGACGCGTACATTACTACCGCTTTGTTGTATGAGAAGACGGTGTCGCTGCTGTTAAGATCCACATATGTTAAGCATAATACTATATCGAGTTCGAAAAAATTTTGCTGGTTCTGGTTTCATCGGCCCCAAGTCTCGAATCTGACATCCATTTGATGAACCTTGTGTCGTTTGAACTACAGGTATAACAAGGGGAATAAACTAAATATGGATGAGAGCAGATGAGTCAAGAATGATTAAGGAAAAATATTTTCTCTAACACCAATTATCCGCTCCCGCATATATATCTCTCTTTTATAGTGTAAAGTCACAATTTCAATCTATTCAAAAAGCCGACTGCAACGAACTTACGTGTTGCAAATAAACTTGTGTCCTAATTTTTCTGAGCCAAGAAAATAACATCTATTTCGATGCAAGCATATTTCATTTGATTACAAATACCCCAATATTTTTAGAACGCGTCTGGCGTAACTCTCTTCATTTGATTCTCTTCTCTAAAATAAATGTATATAAGCAAGCATAAGAGAAAATTAAACTTATAAAGTTACCAAATATCAAGTTGCGCTAGTCAAGGTTGTGCGCTAGGGAATACCCCTAACCTTCTTCTGCGAATGCAAGACGCAGCTAACGTGCTGCGCACGGCTTACGTATTAATGAGCAAAGAGATAGTAAGTAGCGTTTTAAAAAATTGGTTTAAAAACAAATTTTGTTTTCATCCGTGTCGAACGCGTAACCACTTTCAGTAAAGCGAACTTCTTGCCATCGCCTTACACCTTACAGCCATTTACCTAATAATATCATAGCCAAAAAATCAGAGAGTAAGTCTGTCATCAGAGTCTGTAACAATTTTGATAGGTGCGTTTTACCTCATATACATATTCCCCGATTTTCTCATACAAAATATTATATAATATACAATATTGGGCTATTATTAGGCTATTTATTTAATATTTCGCTGAAATGTTTTGCCATTCCGTAAATGTGTATGAACTAGTTCACGCCGTCCAATCGTGAACATTTTTGTGGTTTAACATTATTTTTAATATAATAATTATATACAAGTTCTTAAAAATAACTGCGATTTGTGAAAAATAATATTTTGCGGTTCTCTTTAATAGTTTAAGCCTAATATAAATTTAAAGTTTTATCTGCATTAAAAAAGTTCCATGTTGCTTTTTATATTTTTGTTGTACAATATTTTTGTGTGTAAAATCAATCATAAGTACACATGAGTATTTATATCGTGCACATATGCCCTTTTTAACAGAGTATTTTTTTAAATGGTTTGAACTTGGCGTGTAACTTGGACCACCCTGTGATAACCATATACAAAATTATGTACATGTGTATGTGTGTATATGCAACCTTGACAACTAGTATGGTAGTTTGGTAAGCGGGGTTGAGTACAGAAGGTGAAGTTAAGAAACCAATAAAAATTGATATTTAAATCATCATTCACACAAAAGTTTATAATTAATGATTTAAATATACACATACAAAACACTGGATCGTATGTGACACAACTAACGTAAATAAGTGAAGTCCCGTAGCTGACGCCATTTTGTATTTACATATTTGGAATACAAAGTAAAATTATTGTAAATGGAACTTGGGAAAAAAAGGTAACACACGTTTAAAAAAAATGTATATATATTAGGCTTTATAAATACAGATTAATTAAATTATGCCAGTAGCTTCACCTTTTAGCACTAGGGGATGTACATACATACATATGTATAAAAATCATGTTCAATTAATTACGTACATATGGCTGCGTCTTGCACTTATGATTACTAAATTTAAATATGTATATATATATATACAAATATGTTTATTATGCACTTTTGTATATCTATGTTCGTGTATATTTTCATACAACTTCGTATGTACATACATATGGATTAAGTGCAGTAATTTAGTTGTGCACATACATACATACATTTATGTACATATGTATGTATGTAAAATATTGTGTATGCTGCCGTTTTAGTATGTAAATTTTGTTTTTGTTGTATGTGATTGTTAACATGTATTTTCGACTCATTTCAGGTATAAGGGTGGTCGGACACCTTCAGTTAGGTCAAGTGATAGGCGACGTCCTCAAAGTTTTTCAACATCATCTACACTCTCCCCGCGGGTTGTGTTATCTCGTTTGGAACCCAGAGATTTTGAACGCCTACGATTATCGTACAAAGTTGCTATTGACCAAAGGAGATCTCGAAGCTGCCGTGGCATGAACATGGGTCAAAAAATTAGTGGCGGCGTTAAAACAGTTAACCGTAATGATTCTCAGGCAACGTTTAAACCAATTATACCAAGAGAATTGCAAGCCGATTTCCTTAAACCTGCTCGGATCGATATTTTGCTGGATATGCCACCCGCAAACCGAGAGGTTCAACTAAAGCATTCGTGGAACTCTGAAGACAGATCTTTAAACATATTTGTTAAAGAAGACGATAAATTGACATTTCACCGACATCCTGTTGCGCAAAGTACTGACTGCATTCGCGGAAAAGTTGGTCTTACAAAAGGATTACATGTATGGGAAATTTATTGGCCAACAAGGCAAAGGGGTACCCATGCCGTAGTTGGTGTAGCATCAGCCGATGCTCCGCTGCACTCTGTAGGTTACCAGAGTTTGGTGGGATCTACCGAGCAAAGCTGGGGCTGGGACTTGGGCAGAAACAAATTGTATCATGACTCAAAAAATTCAGCTGGTATCACATATCCGGCAATTTTAAAGAATGATGAAGCTTTTTTGGTTCCAGACAAGTTCTTGGTTGCTTTAGATATGGACGAGGGCACTTTAAGCTTTATTGTTGACCAGCAATATCTTGGTATTGCGTTTAAAGGCCTCAAAGGAAAGAAGCTGTATCCCGTAGTTTCTGCTGTATGGGGTCACTGCGAGATAACGATGCGTTATATCGGTGGATTAGATCGTAAGTACAATTTCACTAAATGCCTAGCTATGTGTATTTTTATTTTAACCACTATTCATATGAAATAATCGATATTGTTTTTGCTGCTTCTTAACGATTCCTTACCTTCGCATTGCCTTCGTGCGTTTTATATTTTGCGGGATAGGAAAGAAGCTGCTTTCCAGTACATATTCGATCAGAGAGTGGGTTGGTGGCCTAGCCATGACACTCGGCATTATCCTGTTGTAAAATCCACGAAAATGGTTGCTCAATTTAAAATAACGCAAATCAATCGATTCATGGCTATGATTAAATCAATTTCGTCCTTTTGCAGTTCGTTATAAAGAAACGAATATTTGGCCATTCAAATCAAACGTTTTTCATTAGTGTCAGCCTGGGCAATCCATGTCGGAATTTTTTCATTTGAATTGTTTGCAATTGAAATCTCAACTGAAGGCAATTTTGAGAACCTTACGCGCTTCTCTAGAACTTAATTATTTTTGCTGATTTCCATATGCTTTCGGATCTTTAAAATACCGATCAACAGATCTGCAGCTACTATTTATTTCATTATTTTATATATCTTTCGGTTGGAAAGTCGTTGAGAAAGTGAAAAAAATCCCATTTAACGCGATCCCAAGACGCTCAAATCTTTGTTTTACCCTTTTTATATCAAAAACAATTGTTTATATTTTTTTTTGTTAATTTTAACATTGTGTGCATCAAAAAGATTGCAATCCCTTTCTTTATTTAAATGACTAACATATTAACAATGTTGTTACTAAATCTTGAGTTTTTCAAAACAGCCTGAAAAGGCTAGGAGTTAATTATACATTGATCACACAATTTTAAACAATGAATAACTGGTTGCTCTTATTTACTTATCCGTCACAAAATATTTCAAAATTCAAATTTAGAGCTATTTATAGTTTCTGGTTCGATCGAGACGCTCAGCCAGAAAGACATTGTTTCAAGAAGAAATAATTATATCTTCATGTGAAGAGTATACAAGCGATGAAAATAACATTTTTATCGATTAATTCTGCACAATTATCTTAAAGATCTCGTTGCCTATCTAACTTATGTATGAAAATTATATACGGCCGTACTTATACATACAAAAATATCAATATTTTCAATAAAAACATTTTCCAACTGATTTTATAAAGCCTGCTGTGAAAACCGACTTAAAATTTACATAACTGCATTTTTTGGTTAAAATGTGTTCATAGCTTTTTTTCTCTTAAATATTTACATCTTAGGGGAGATGATAGACGGATGGTGAAACCCCCAAAACCTCTTACTACAATTGATTTAAAAGAAGTCAATTGGGAGTTTTCTTGTTTTTTTTAGAGTTTTCCTTAGCTATGCGCATATAGTTCATGCCTACAGACGGATGGATAGACAGACAATTATTGCTAGATCGACTCGGCTATTGATAATGACCAAGAAAATGTACTTTAGGGAACCGGAGATGCTTCCTTCTGCCTGTTTCATTAATTTGCATAAAACCATTATAATCGTATTTCGAGTAACAGTCAATTTTCAGTTAGCTTAAGAGCCTGTTACATTAATTTTTTATATTGGCTGGTCGCAGAGATCAACGTTTATTTATTTGATTTCTGTTCATATCTATATAAGCACTTGTTTTCGCTTATATTGATATACACATATATAAATTGATCGCTTTGTATTCATTTTTACAGCCGAACCTTTGCCATTAATGGATCTTTGTCGAAGGTCAATTCGACAGAAAATTGGTCGAGTTAATTTGGAAGATCGCATACAACAACTTCAGCTTCCACAGTCTATGAAAACGTATTTATTGTATAAGAACCGTAGATAATATTTTTAAATCGGGATTATGTAAGTTATCATTTTGCATCTCTGCTGCATGTGATGGGGGAAGTTAAGGTAAATAGTTTTAGTTCGTAATAGTCTTTAAATCAATGTTAGTTTTTGTCGTCAAGGAATAATATAAAAGTATATAATTTTTTAACTATACTTGATATTCGTTTTCCTATTTGTGTTGTAAATTAAGTCGTCGGTATGATTAACACAATATTTAATATAATCACAAACAAATCATTTGCTAAATCTAAATCATGGAAGAAATGTATTTCTCTTTAATTGACATATTATATATAAATATAAATAAATATAAAAATTAAAAAAAAAAAAAAAAAAAACGTCGCAAACCTCGTGGTATATTCAAAAACATAAAACTGTACCATAATATTAGCTATAACATCCATTTTAAATATGTTCTTAGTTTAGCATTTCATTTTTAATGACACCGTGTTCAGATTTATAATTTAATTAATTATAAAATAACAATGTACATACATATATGGGGAAAAACATTTTTAAGACATTCTTTGTGTAAAAAAAATAATTATGTATTCCTCAATTGAGATTTTATTTTGAATCTTGGTCGCATTAAATATTTATAGGATGTGTTAAATACGCATGTACATATGTACTCAATAGGGCGTAATTCCACGGACCTTAGAATAAATGGATAGAAGTCTTTTAACACAAAAAGGTGCAATAATTTAAAAGAAAAACAATTTTTTATATTGCTTACTGAACTGATTTGAAGGAATCTCAAAGAACGCACTGTATTACAAATAATATTCATTATACCGATTAGAGAATTGAATAATACATAGCCATATGTGTGAACATATTCATTGCAGTTAAAGTTTTCTCAATTGAAAGATTGTTTACTAAGTATTATTAAAGTGCTGACATCCATTCTTCTAATAAAAATATCCCAAAATTGTACCATTACGTTCAACCATTTTGAATTAAGCTGGAAACCCTATTAATAATATAACAAAAAAAAAAAAAAAAAAAAAACAACAACAACAAAACGTAACTATTTAATTACTTTTAAGCATTTTCGTTAATAGTTTTGTCATTGTATTTGACAGGGAGCATAATTACGCAACACGATTCATATTATTTACTCTCTCAGTCAACAATATACATTTCTATAATTTTCATGGACACTACTATAGTTTATTCCAATCAACATATGTACTTATTTTATATTTTAGATGATATAAACTTAATTTAAATTTTATGACACTTAATAAAGACTTAATTTCACTAAAAATGTATACAATATTTTAAATTATGTTTCAAGAAAATTCTATATCCATTGCCACGGACTTGTAAACTTTTTAATGTAATAATCCTTAATTTTTTTTTGCTTTTGTTTATTCCTAACAAAAAGGGCGGGCATCTTCAACACCATAACGTATTATTAATCTTTTTGGTAAATAAAGTCAAACAATGCCAAGCTACTGTATCAATATATACCCAGGTTGTTCCTGACGGCAGGGGAAGATGCTACCCGTTTCTGCGGAAAAATGTCGGCCAAGAAAGCACGCTACGGATTGACTACAACGGATCGGAGAGAGGATCGATCGGATAGACAAGGGCACAGTTACAGGTCCCAACCAAGTCATTGTGGGCATAGATGGACTGGCTAATCAGACCAAGGAGTATACCCAGCCCAAGTGGCAAGGTCTTGTTCCACACATCCATTGCGCTCTCGACAGTTATTCGGGGCACCTCTCACCAAAGCGAGGAGCCACGTTGGTTAGTGGCTGCTGCTTGATGTCAGAAGTATTACTATCGTCTGGATATGTAGCTAGCATTGTCCTGGTATTGTATGTAACTGGTCCAAGGACACCACCCTGACGGAATTCAGGCCGTATGGGCCCTCATGCCAGAGCCTGTCTGGAAAAACGGCGTGAGCTACCTTCCCGCAAAGAATGGCTTATCACAGCTTGTCTACTCAAAAGTAGTCAAGATCAAGGACCGCATGGAAAAAGAACCTGGCATAGTTGCGAGGTAAGTGATTGGCGGGGCACCTCAACAGACCAAGCATTTAATGGAAGTCCAAATCCATCCAGTACTTTTATATTGAGGAACGTAGGAAGTAGACTAGCAGTGGGATCTCGTCTGGACACCACTCCGATCTCAGATAAAGCTCTAGGATTTTCCAAGTGGCCTAGGCTATTCCTGCGGCTGGTTGGACTCTGGCCATCGGCCCTGCTTCCTCCGTATTCAGGCATATGTCCACCATGCCTACTCCATGATCAACGCAGTGCTGTTGCTGCAACTCCTACCGTCGCCTTCTGGTATACTCGTGGGTTCGACCTGATTCCAAGTATGACCCTTCACTTCCTTCTCCCTTTTCTTTCTGTTCGGGTGCCGAGCAAGCGCTCCCTTTACCTGACGTGGGAAGTTTTCTTTCGGCTCTTCGCTTATCCCAGGCCCAAAGGCTGATGTCATCGACGTCTCCAGGACCAGATCGGCGTCACCGCAATACATTGTGATATCCACTGCATACAGGTAACCCATTCCTAGGATGACGAGATCTATCATGGAGAGCATAACAAGCATCGGTATGCTGATCACTTAGTCCGCTAGGCCAACATCTGACTACAAGGCCCTCCCTACTTCCAGGGTGAAATCATCTGCCAGATGAATGCGTGACTGCACATATTGCGCTCTCCTCCGAAGGGCACACTAGCGCATACAATCTTCGCTCACGAAACTGCGGGTGGCCCCTATGTCGAATGTGCCGGTATGCCCGATCCTGGCCTGGCGGACGCCGGTGGGCAACACCGTTCCCGCGCGCGCCGGCAACAATCTTCGCTTCTCCTGTCCCGGTTCCCGCAACAAGCACGGGTCATTCCCTGGCAAAGCGCCCCTCTTCTGCACATTCGCATTCGATAGGCGACGCCTGCATGAGCCATTCCTTCCCGCCGATTAAAATCCGCTGGTCTGAGCTGAGAACGGATCAATGTGTCCACTCATGGGCTGTACTGTACTTTCTCCAGGACTCCGGCTCAGATTTTTAAGGACTGTCAGTGGCCTGCGCCTAATAGTCCCAAAGCTCTTGCGAATAACAACAGGAAGTGCTAAGCGCTAAACTTTGTGGCAGGCTCCTACCGAAAATTTGACGCAGAGCCGGTAACCTCAAGGAATCTCATCGGAGTAGTTATATTCTCAGAATAAGAGACTAGCCTATTTCAGACGACCTTGGACTATGTAACTTAGTCACCGTCAGGGTCAGGGTAGACTGTAACATCAAATGAAGCATAAGAACCAAAGTATGATCCACCATTAAACGAAGAGTGACGCCTAACGAGTAAATCCCAAAGCAGGAAAGACTTCAAAAACCCTGGGTGTCACCCTTGATGCCTAATCCCAGTCAACTGACCTTTTAGGCCTTTGTTGATCAGTTTGAAGGAAAAAGGTAAGCGTTTGTATGACTCTCTTCTATTCTATTGCCGTAAACAAGAAGACATTTTTTGTGTTTGCTTGACACACATGCATGACATACTTGAAAATATTCTAGAAACTATTTCGCCCACTAAGATTTTTAAATTTTTTTAATTTCATTCAAAAAATAATGATAACTCGATAACTTTATTAAACAGTGATCTGCCACGCGACTGCGAGGTGCTTGAAGGTTTAGACCGTAATTTAAAATATCTCAGACGCCAACTATTCCAGCTCTTGCTGCAGGCAGCATAAAAAAAAAATTTTGGTTTCAACCAATTTATTTATTAGTATAAACAAATGGGTGCGATAGCTATAAAATTAAATATATTATATATTTATAAAATTCAAGAAGCTTCAAACTGACTCTGGTTCTTAAAACTTAAGACATTTCCCAAAAGCAAAATTTCGATATCGATTAGTATCGAATGCTTTAAGACGTGGCCAGCTATCGGTTATCGAACATAAGCTCATAAATACGGACAGACAAACGGCAAGGCTACATAGACTCGGCTATTAATGCTGATCAATAATATTTATACTCAATGGGTTCGGAGCATATTCCCTTCAACCAGTTACATATATTTGCACAAAAACATATCATTTTACCCATTTTCAATGAAATATAAAACTCGAAGAAAATTTCTCTGGCTCTCGACAAACGCATTGATCGACTTGTGCAAGCATCATACATACATCTACAACACACATACATACATGAGTCTCTGGGCTGCAAGGAATTCAAAACAAACATAAGTGCATACATACATAATGCGTTTCTGTGAGATAAATTACTCGCGGGTTTCATTAATAGTTTTGTAAAATATTTATATGTGCATACTTGTATTTCGTTAAAATCGATAAGCCGGTTCAAGATATTGCAATGTGATTAAGTATCGAGCCACATATGCAGTTAAACGGTAATGTATATAATATATATGTAAGTGTATACATATATATGTACATACATACATTTGTGTTTTATGGGATTGAAGACGCTTTCTGCTGTTTTATACTACTGCACAATTTAATACATCCGATTTTAAATGATTTTTAATAGGTGCAGCATATTGGCTTATGAAAGTAATAGTACCTTACAAATTGCACATAGAAACTAACATACTTTATGTACATACATACATACATACACTACAGCACATCTGCATATTAATGTATTTATTAAAATTTGCTAAAAAAAAAAAAAAAAAAAACAGAAAATACCCCATTTATACACGAGGGAAATATTATTCAATTTAGAAAGTATTCTTAAACTACTTTACGATATGCCCTCGTTGATTCTTTATAACAAAAAGCTTTCTTGCTTGTATGAGCTCTGCAAAAAAAGTTTATTTAGTGTTCCACTTTAGCTTGGTGCTTTAACTATAGAGCTTTAATTCAACGTGTTGAGATCATCTTTGTCGGTTATTTAAGAAATCTTAAGTGATTATCTTGGTAATTTTAATTATACAAAATAAAACTTGCAACACTTAGACAAAACTGTTTTTAAAATAACTTAATTGTTCCGTCATAATGCATATGTAAAGAGAAATGCACATAGCATATGTATATACATATATATAAATGTTTTTACGTCATTGCACAATATAAATATAAATTTGTCATTTGTTGTATTTTTGTATGTAGATAGATACGTACATACATCTGTACGTATCTCTACAAATAAATATTTTTATACAATTCTAACCATGCCCAGTGATTATTGCCTTGCATTCACGATCTGGATCAAAAGGGATAAAACAATGAGCTAATGTGTATAAATACATGTGTAACAGATCGAATATATATACTACCGGAACATTTCTTACCGTTTGTGAACACATACATATGTACATATATATGTAAGTACACATGAGCATGCATAAATATGACGATCAGAATGTGTCTAGCCTGGCGTACACATACATACAAACATATGTATGTATCTGTTATTCATTTTACTATCTGTTTGCGAAGATATTGGAGGTCAGGTGGAAAATTAGTGTATTCCATTTTTTTTGTTGTAACATTCCCCGCCCTTTCTTTTTATTTTATTTTTTTCTTGATTTTAATACATGAATATTTTCCATTACGAGCTCCAAGTCATTAACAGTTTTGTTATAATATACTTATAATTAACATGAATAAAGTGCACTTCCAATAATAACATGTATTTTTTTACATAACAGGCTCAATACATTTCCCATATGGATTAACATTTTTAGCATAATGTTAGTATTTTAACATGCCTGTCACTTTTATTTGAAAGTATCGTTCGTGTGGTCCTATCCAGCCTGCTCCGACATATGTACTGTGTGCAACTGGAAGAGGGTCGTATGTAAAGTTTCATGACGATAGCTTTAAAACTTAGAGACTAGTTTGCATTGAAATAAATTACAAATTTTGAGACCAAATTTTAATACCATCTTCAACGGTATAAAAAGAAAGACAAGAAGTTTCAAACATTTTCATTAATTCATATTTCTCCGTTCGAAAGAGAAGCGATGCGGGTTGGTCCTACAGGAAAGCTGAGTCCTATTGAGGAACCACTTTTTATTTATTTTTATTGCTGCTAAAGCAAATCAGCTGGTGTCACGAGGTACCAGAAGAGGGTTTAGGGTATCCCCTAGTCGGGAAGATGTCCTTAGTCCCTCATTATTAAACAATTAAAAGTAGTAGTAGTAAAGTAATTTAATATTTATTATTATTATTTATTATTACAATTTGAAAGTCAAAATATAATAACTTTTTAATTTTTATTCCAGATGATGTATTCAAACCGTGGTATTGATACAAGCTCTGACAGGTTTTCCAGTAGAACATCAGTATACAACTATCCTGAGCATTTGAATCCATTTAACGACGATGACAATCATAAGCGCTTACGGTTTTGGAGATTATCAAAATCCAATGAAAATTCGAAACAAAGAAGTTTCTCTATTGGAAACTTGCGAGACATTTGGTAAGTTAGAAAAGAACACAACAAGACAGTCGTGGATATTTAGCAGTCGACATTAATTTATACATTACTAACATTAAGGTCTGTCGTTGATTGTATTCGTAATTTTAGGCCCTAGTAAAAGTTAAATAGGTATCCTTTCTGAGGAAAAATAGTCCGATTGAGTTTTAGACGCTGATGGAGCGTCAGCACTGCCACCGCCGCGTTCTTCCGCGGAGAGGGCATCACTTCTAACCGGAAGAAGCGTTTGGCGACGTAAGTCTGCTAGGTTCGCGTCAGATGAATATCAAGCGTCGGTCCAACAGGTACGGCAGAATCAAGACAACTTATCAGATTTGAAGGATCTCTGTTTTTAGCGCATACGCTTAGAAGATGATTAAAAAGACACAGTATGGAAGTTACAGGTGCTAGGCTCTCTCTCTCTCTCACTTCGTATAGTTAATAGTCCGTCACTATGTCGAAGTTAAACTAAAACTAAGTACAGAAATGTTGTTTATGCAAAGCTAGCTTTGATACAGCACTTATTCCAAGCGGATCGTAGTGTTGTAAAAGACCATTTTCTACAAATTTTTAGTTTAGTAGCAAAAACTTAAAAAAAAAAAATTGTATATAAGAATTTATAAAAAAATTTTAATGATATGATTTTGCTTCTGTAGGAATTTTAGATCATTCAACTTAAAAAAGAAATCATCGACTTTGGGTATTCAGAAAACATCTGAAAGTCCCCCTGTTCTGCGGAGAAGTTTTGGACCAAATACGCCGTATTTTCATCCAGCTGAACAGATCGCAGGGAGACATTCTTTGCAGAATTTGAACGTCCCTTTCAGTGTGAGTAACTATACCCTGTGTAAACATGTTGGGCACATGTATATAGCATACAATTTTTTAATTAATCGTAGAAGTGCATATGAAGAATACTTATTTAATTTTTTTGTTTTGATTATTATCAGACGGCATCGAGTAAAGTAAACGGCAACCCTTATCAACGTAGCACTAATTTTGATAGATGCTCAACGCCACAGCCTCATCATTACCAGAGAATCAGGTAATAATTAAAATTAATCAACACATACATATATTATTTTATTATCCAATCGTAAAATAAATGCATGCATTAAATACGATAACTAAATGTGAATATTTATCAATACGCAAGGCTGCATGTCTTATAAATTCCGAATTTGCTGTAGATATTTTGATAAGAAAATTGTTTTGCATATAAACATTTTTTTTCCGCTAAGCTATAAGCTTTTTATGACTGGACTGATCGAAATGGCTTTATCGACTTAACAGTTGAAACTTATCAAATATCAAAACATAGAGTCGGTAGCTAAGTCAGTTGATAAAACGGAGAGGTACACAAAATAATTATGCAAACAACTATTGGGGCTTATTCAGAGTTGATGTTGGTCGGACCAACTTTAACTATAAAATTTTAAATGCTTATAATTTTATATCTTACTATCTGTTTTTCTTTTAAGATCTTCGTACTCTAGTCTATCGAGCACCAATCCATTTGAAAGTGAAGTTGAGTCTGATGTTAATCATAGTGGATGCTCTACAGTTGGTCTTCGCCCAAAATCTTATCGAAAAAAAAAGAGGAAAGCCCCGCCAGTTCCGACTAAAAACATGGTACAATATAAATGATATTTTGAAAGAATACTGTTAATTCAATACATTCTTTAGGTCATCGATCCTTTGAGCGATCCTGAAAAAAACTCGATGGACTCCGCTCACAGTCCCAATATGGAAGCTATGGATATAAAGTCACTTACAAGTGAAATAGAGAGATTTGTACACAGAGATGAGACTTCGATAAATAAATCACTTACATCGAAATCTTATTTGGACTCCGAAACGGCACTAAGTGACGCAGCGGATATTAGCGTATTAAGTATCACAGAAAATGGCAATAATAATACACCTAATGAGAAAGCAGCTTTTCCTGCGAAGGAAACAATTACTGCACCATATAAAGAAAATCTTAAAACCTGTGACGCAGCTAATATTAGCGTATT